TGAGTAATTTTAAATTGTGTGGAAATATGTATGAAGCTTGCTAATACATTATACGCAGATGCTTAATCGTATTGGTAATTTGAGGAGTTTATCAGATTTTTTATGGACTTCAAGTAAAATATAATTATAGTCCATTAGGCCTTCCTCCTTATTTCTAAAAGTTTGTCCACTCAAATGATAGTCAACATATTTGGAAACAAATTCAAGAAAAAACACTTAAACTTCAGTTCACATTTCTGTCAATATTCGTAATCGATTTAGGTTGCAAATAATCATTAATGCATTATATTTAATTACTATTAGAAATATAGGCCATCTAGGGATGACAACAGCAATGAAAACAGAGTTTCGCCAATCACTGGCTATAAAAATTCTGCAATTAAGTACATTATTAAAATAACTATTGTAATTAGAATTGAAACATTTATGCATACTTATGAATAGTACTTATAAAGCAGCTACAATATGCTGCTATCTCTGCTATCTCCATTATTAATCGGTATATTCATCAAAATATATTAAATGATGCCAATCTGATAACATTATCGGTTCACATTTCGAGCCTTCACGTTACCTAACAATTAGCACTGACAGCTCTGATATAAGCCCTTAGCACTCAATGAAACGTGCGAGCTGATAATGTTTGTTAATAAAATATCAGTACGAGAATCTGTGCATATGCATTCTTGAAATTAATTTTATTGATAATTTATTGCATAGCTTGCATTATACAATGTTTCAGAATTACTTCCATTTAAAGCAATCAAGCAAATGCCAGACGATCAGGCGGTCAAACGTTATCCCAAACAACGGAAAAAATGCAAACATACATTTTTAATGAAAATCATTTCTCAATTGCATGAAGAAATTTCAATAGCAAGTCATTGGTCTTAGGCCCTATACCCTTAATATTTATAATTCCCAGATTTTTATAAAATATGAAGGCTTTATATATACAACTCCAAATTTGTAAAGTTTATTCAACAGCAAAATATAATATTAAAACATTAAAAGTGTTAAATCTCTTTCATCATTCTCAAAACTCTTAGTTTTACATTTGGAGCTTGATGTTAATATACGAGTACGCATATCTTTCTTTTTATACTCTGATCAGCATGACGAGACCAGTCGATCTAGCCCTGTCTGTCTGTCTGTCCGTCTGACCGTCCGTGTGAACACCTGGATCTCAGAGACTATAAGAGATAGAGACACCAAATTTTGCACAAAGATGCCTTATGTGTGTATTCTATACGAGTTTGTTTTATTTTTTTGATTTTCGCCCCACTTCCTCCCTATGGTGGGTTTCCCGATTTTCCATTCGTATAATCGCCTATATCTCGGAGACTATAGGAGACCTAGGAACACAAAATTTTAGTTCCAGATGCCTTATGTGAATTCGCAGAAAATGTATATTTTGGAATTTCCCTCCCTCACCCCTCTCCTCCGCAAATTGCGATTTTCTCTAACTCCCGTAATTTTTGGAAATACCCCCAGTTAGTTATTATGTGTCCATATGCCAAGTTTCACTATGATAGACCGATTTAACAAGAAGTTATAGCCATAAATATATTTGCTGCTGCAGCGCTGCTCAAGCGCTGCCCGCGACTGTTGATGCTGGTGCTTTGGTTGACTGCACACATGTTTACACAGACACGAAGAGATGCGCATAGGCATACATATACTCACACAGACGCAATTGCTATGTAAATGTGCAATTATACACCATTTACGTGAGTTCGAATAACGAAAATCGATCAAATTTTTTTTTTTAATTTTCTTAATTTTTTTTTGGTTTCTATAATTATTGTAAACATATGTACAGAGTATTTGAAAGTCGGGACACCCGCCTTTAGCTTTTCTACTTGTTCTCTTTTTCTCTTTCTCTTTCTACTTCGTACTTTTTATAGCCTGTACCCAAAGGGTGAAAGGCTATACTAGTTTTGTGCGCATGTATGTAACACACAGAAGGAGGCGTGGCAGACCCCACAAAGTATATATATTCTTGATCAGGATGAGAAGACGAGTCGATATAGCCATGTCCGTCCGTCCGTCTGTATGAACGCAAGGATCTCAGAAAGTATAAGAGCTAGAATAACCAAACTTGGTATCCAGGTTCCCCTAAGTCAGAGAAAAGACGAGTTTGTTTTTTTTTTTTTTTTTTGATGCACCCCTCCACTCCCCCGCAATTCGTGTTTTTATACCCTGTACCCAAAGGGTACAAGGGTATATTAGTTTTGTGCGAGTGCACATGGAAGACACAGAAGGAGGCTTGGTAGACCCCACAAAGTATATATATTCTTGATCAGCATGACAAGCCGAGTCGATATAGCCATGTCCGTCTGTCCGTCTGTTTGTCTGTATGAACGCAAGGATCTCCGAAAGTATAAGAGCGAGAATAACCAAACTTGGTATACAGATTCTCCTGATACCGAGAAAGGACGAGTTTGTTCATTTTTTCTGATCCACCCCCCACTTCCCCCCCCTATTAACGATTTTCTATAACTCCCGTAATTCTTGGAATTTTGAACTAAAATTTGGTAGTCACATTAGGTTAGTTATATATCCGTATACCAAGTTTCATTATGATAGAATGATCGGAAAGAAAGTTATAGCCATATAACCAGGCCCAATGCACACATACATATGTACAATTACACAAACACGCATAAGGCACGATTCTGATGTAAATGTAAATGTATCTATGCATGCATGGAATATTTTATATTTAATTTAGTTAATTCATTAAATTAATTTAGTTAATTAATTAAATTAAATTAAATTATTAATTTAATTAAATTAATTTAATTACTTTTTTGTGGGGTGGTACAGGGTATTTAAGAGTTGAGCCTGCTCGACTTTAGCATTCCTTTCTTGTTTCTTATAACTTCCGTAATTCTCGGAATTTTGAAATCCAGTTAGTACTAATGCGCCCGTGTGCCAAATTTCATCATGATAGGTCAATTCTGAAGAAAGTTATAGCCATAAGTAAAATCGCTGCTCATGCGCTGCCTGCAGCTCTGTCGGCAGCGCTGCCCGCAGCTGTTGTTGTTGTTGCTGCTTTGGTTCAACTTTGTTCTGCATACATACACGCATATAAACACGCATAGGTACGTAATGTAAATGTATGCTGTTAAAACTGAACATAAACATGTATTCTAATTTAATTTAATTAATTAATTCATTCATCCTTTTTTTTTACTAATTTCATTTTTTTAATTTTTTTTTAATTTTTCTTTTTTGTGGGGAGTACTAATTAGTTGTTAAATAGAATTAACTTTCCACCTTTATCTACTTTTTGTATAGTTTTTTAGGTCTTTAATGTATCTGACCACATATGGCTGTTAATCGGGGCATATCTGGCCAACTGGCAAATAAAATTCCCCCAACGTGTCGTAGGCATTAATAGACGTCATTGTTCAGCTTTGTGTTAGGCTTTCTTATCTTTTAAGTTTAGTTTAAATCGTTATGTTAAGTTTTATAATATAATCGACAGTATTATTGTGTATATTCTGAATAAAATAAAATAAAAATATGAAGCCATACATATCTTACCCCATCTGAAACAACACATACATATAACTGCTGATGTCGAATTTATTCAACAATTATTTTCGCACACACAATTGCGATTCTTCTACTGATTTAATGAAAAGTTTCAAGATCAATACAGAAACACGGTTATCTACCCCTGCAGGATGAGATGATATTTTTGGCTAAAACATCCATTGCGGTAGATATATCACTATACATTAAGCAAAAGCATTGGGGAAGTATGAATACCAAGTTTTGTGATTCTAGCTCTCATATTTTCTGAGATACTTGAGCTCAAACTGACAGACGGACAGAGAGATATGGCTGATCCATATAAGTACTTCAGTGTGTCACATACATATGCTCTAAACTAGTATACCCGTTTCCCCTTTGGTTACAGACTATAGTAATGTATTTTCAAACGAATAAGTGGACGCTTGAAATTAATAAAGTTTTAACAATTATCAAAATTGGGAATAATAAAACTATTAAAGCTGAATCTGAAAATTTAATATATGTATCCCAATCAATTGGAATATGCTTTTTGAGCTACAATAATCGAAAAGTAGAGACAGCATTGGCATGAAGGGCATTAATTTGATTCATGTTTTTGTTCTAAATTATAGCAATTAAAAACTGACTCAATACAGAAACCTCGTCATAAGTACACGGAACGCAAGTGTTCAACCGTGATCTCAACCTCGATACAAAGTAGGCAGAGTGCATATGCATTCTATGGGCATTTAACATACAGACTTGAAACTGATGTAATTGTGGCTCGTAATGATATGTATTTTATTTTTTAGAGTCGTGTGAAACAAAATTCTTTCTGCTTTTTGCACATTGTCCTAAACCACAATGACTAGCGCTATTTTGGGACTGTGTCAGCAAGTGCAATACGCTTTCTAGATACTTTATGAATATAATTACGAGTAGGTTGAGAATAGGCGAAGAAAAAATACACAGCAACCGGGAATGCGAGTCCGAATGCAAATTTTAAATCAAATCAGTAGCTGTACAGCAGGTTGAACTAAACAAAATATAATAAATATATTCGTCTTCTGCTCGCTCGCTCATTTGAGTATACAAGTACATATTCTACATGTATGTATATGCTTAGTATGTATGTATGAATGTACATACATATACTCGTATTTTTTCAAATGCTCTACTGAGATTTGTTTATAGCCCCCCTAATCATAACATTAAGAATAGTTGGCAGCCGTCGGCAGAAATGCACCGCAAACTTCTCGCCTCATTTCTAAAGGGTCTCGGTCGCGGTCTCTGTCTCATCTCCTACGCTCGCAAGTCAGCCGCGCTGCCGCTTCTCGGGCAGTCAGTCAGTTAGGCAGTCGGAGCAGTACAATATAGTCGCTCGAGCCGCATAAAACTATTCACGCGAGCGCTGACCGCCGCCGACCGTCGACCGTCGACGTAGCCGCTGCCGCTGCCGCTGACAGCTGCCAGAAAGCCGCGTCACTTTAGTCTCGCGTCGCATTTCGAGCGATTCGGAAGCATTTCGAAAAAACTGAAAAGAAGAACCCGAAACGTGGAATCAGCCAAGCATTAAATATCTTGTGTATGAAATCAAAAACAACTGTTGTTGTATCAGTATAACAATTTAAAAATAACTTAATGAAAGGCTTGCAAAATAATTGCAAACTCAGTCGGACAGTGTGTGTGTAAATCATTTTTGAAAATTTTAACAAATTTCTGGGAATACATAAAACTGTATCAAGGAATAGGATGTGCAGTTATGATTAATGCCAAGATATATTTTCTACTATATAGTACCTATACAAGTCGTGTTGATCAAGTATAGGTTTGTGGCAATTAAAATTAATTAATTTAAATCAAATGTGACACAATTACCAAAACCCATATGCAAACCTAATTGAACTTTTGTCTGCTTGTTTCAGCATTGCTTTTCGTTTGCGTTTATTTTTTTTGTTTAGCTCGTTCAATTTTTGTATTTTTATTTGTTGTCGTTCTCTTTGGAGTGATTTGTTCTATTTCTATTGTAATGAAATCATATAGTAAATGGAGCAAACGCACACACAAAAGAAGCCCATACACTCGTATGCAGGCGAGGCGCACGATTGCAGACCCCACAAATAAATAATACATTTTCTTGCCGATCCAAGTTTATTTTGTGGGATCGCGAGCAAATTGTTTACACTGTGATGAGCAAAATGAACAAATTTCCAAAAATACCTAAAAAGGCCATAGACAGTGTGTATTCTGTTTAGCGCTCTTTTTGGATTCCATGCATATTTTCGCGCCTTGTCATTACGCATACGACCGATGTGTCAAGCAAAACAAAAGGTCCAATTCTAAAGCAATTAGCCTGTGCATTTTTGAGTGCATATCGAAACATAGATAAGCAATTTCTATTTATTTGCATTCTATTAGTTGGCGATAACTGTTGCCAAATCATGATGATATCACCAAAGCTAAAGCACACCCATTCAGTTGGACGGCCCGACCCAAAAGCCGTCCAGACTCTACCACTCATCGTCGCCCATTGTAATTGACACAGTGCGTGTGTTTTTGGGGTGTGAGGTGCGAGTAAGTGTGTAACAATGTAGGGACACTTTCCATTCTAACCATTCAAGCGGGCATGGGGAAACACAATTTGTAATGCAATACTACGCTCTAGTTTGCATTTGTGCAGAGTGGAGCGGCATGGAAACAAAAATAGAAACAGTACGCGACTCGTATGAGATGCGAGTGGGCGAATGGGCAAACGGGCAATCGGCAAATGGGTGAGTGTCGAAGGGCACAGTCTCGTTCTCGAATTTCTTATCTAGCTGGGTATACAACAATTATTATGACTTATCATCATCATTGCAAAATAATAGCCGTATAGGAAATGCGCAGTGAAACAATTTTTCATTTTCTGAAATGACTCACACACAGTATTTAAATTTTTGCTTCACCCACATTTGTCTATTATTGAGAAGAAATCAACAAAATTAATTTGAATAGCATTTTCAGGGATTGCCCAATATACTTCGATATGACTTCAACTCACTGACTTATGTATACTTCCTCCTCATTGGTTTTTTAATGGCCACAATAAATTTTGAGTTGGAAAATGAGCGACACTTTGAAGTTAATTAATAAACATGAAGCATATTTAAGTACTGGTAACATTCTTAATTGATACGTTTTAAGTGAGCAGTGATTATCATCGACAGTTATTAGTTCCCATTTAATAAATAACGACCAGACATAGCAATAATTGATCTACTTTTCATTGTAAATTGCATACATATCTAAAGATACATATACAATTCTTGAATTTTCTCTATACATTCTCGTATATGTAAACATTCTCGTATATTTGAACCCCTTTAAATCTGAATAATCGAGAATTCTTCAATTATATATTAACATAGCCAATCAGCATACATTTTAATTAAAGAAATAATTTTTTAATTCTTACAGATCCTGAGTAATAAGATATAAGATATGAGTGATAAGATATTCTGATATTACTTTTTATTAACCAGTGCAAATATTTAGTTCAAGTTGTTGAAACCCAGTTGAACAATTTTCCAAGCAACCAACTACGTTTCGACTTCAAAATTCGAATGGGCGACGCGAAATGCTTTAATTGCTTTAGTCAACGGACAAGATCTTAAAACCTAATGCTAAAATTTTCTAAAAAAAAAAAAAAGAAGCCGAAGATTACTTTAGTTCAAAAGCATTGTGGTGGAAATTCTATATACTACTTATATAGCTTAAAAACTATTTCAAGCTAATAAAAGTTACGAGTGTTACGGGTTACGACTTTTAGATACACATGTAATTAGATGTCTGTGCAACAAGTTCTGGGTTTCTGGGTTCATTGAACGGTTGGAAAGTTTATTGGCGTTTTTTTTATATTTTGCTGATAACATATATTTTGGAACATTGTCGCTGACATCAGTTTTCGGGCAAACTGGAATTATCACTACTCTTACTATTACAAATGTATAATTAAAGTTCGTGCTCTACGAATAAACCATAAAGAAAAAAACAACTTAACAACTCTACATACATGTCAAAATTGTCAACTAAACTTTTTGCATTACTTACTTTTATATTAGCTTGATCTTCAAGTTCAAGGCAGACATTAACACTTAAAGTGGTTCATAAAATATAATTACATATTTAATGGAATAGGACAAAATAGTAATGGAATGAGTTCGTTAGTTGGTTTGAGATACAACAAAAAACCTTGTAAAGCTTCATAATATTAAACATTTGACATTTTTTTGCGATTGTACTCTACTCTTATAACGCGATCAGATTAAAATGTAAATGTATTCTTAAAGTCGTTATGCTTTGATTTATATTTATTTCTTCGGCGCAGCAATAAAAATAAACATTAAAAAATGAGAATCAGAATTTTAATTACTGCTCAAAAATAATTAATAATTATAGTAGACATATATCAGCTTACTACTCAAAAATAATTAATTTTTATAAAATAAATTTTTAAGCGTTTATTGCACTAAAAACTAAAATTTTAATGAATTGAGAAAATCACTTGTCACTATTATTTTACTCTTCTTCTATGCGAAGAGATTTTAAAAGTAAATTCGTTTTCCAATTCATATAAAAGTAGAGCTTACATGCCAAGTTTGTTACGAAAAGATCGAAATCATTTCTACTCGTACTAGGCCCCTAATATCTTTAATACTTTTGGTTAGTCATCAAAAACATTCTATTAAATTCAGCTATTAAATTCATCTAAGCCGCATTATGTAGTCTATATCACATTTGCCAGCATTTTCCCAATAATTCGCTATCAATTTAAAATTGAATACATATGAAAAGTCGCCCGGTATTTTTATAGCGAATGAATTTAATTGATATCAAGTGGCTTTCCACTTGGTTCCACTGAGCAAGTGTTCGCGCTCCCAAGGTAAACAAACTTTGTTGTTCCATCAGTATGCATAGTTAATTGTAATTTTCCGCATTGAGCTGTCGAACCTGCAGGTTGAGACTACTTACATACAAGTATATAGAGTTTGTTTTATATTGGGCCGGTGAAGGGCGCCGTCGATTTGATTGACGTACTTATACAAAGATATACATATGTATGTATATACGCGATAATTGTGGGAACTAAAGCAACCCTACGATACGACTGAAATTGTTCACTTAGAACAGGTCAGTTAGAAAATATGTATTTCAATCAATGTAACGACGAACAACAACTTGAAAGCGGCTTAGGCACATTTTGCTGCTTGAGTTATTGTTATTAGTGATCATTAAAATTATATAGGTATTTTGCAGTCTTTGAAAGCAAATAAAATCTAATGCTATTCACTTAAATTCTAAAGTCTCCGCCGCCGCCATTCATGTCGCACAATGCCTGCGATTTGAGCGCAGCAATTCCATTTCGTAAGACGCCAAATGAGACAAATAATGCTAAAAGCTGATGAGGGAAAAAAAAAAACAGAAACTACAAAGTGCAGCCACAGATAGAGCCACAGACATAGACATAGACATCCACATCCACATCGACGATGCCACTGCCAACGACTCCATTTGAAAAGGCAATTCAGATTCACTTTTCGACGCCAGCGACGTGTCGGTCCCTCATTAAGCTTACGCTGCTACGCAGGTGTGCTGTCGACGGCGACGCTTACCGCGGCGTCGACGTTGACGCCGACTACAATGGCAGCAAACACTTACGTTCTCTTTTGACTTTTAAGTGCTTGTACCCCCGTACCACTATGTACATACATATGTACATGCATACGTACTTGTACATAAGTATGTTTCTATGCTGCCTCAATTTGGATTTTGTAATTTGTGCCATTTCGTGTGTTTTGTTTCATTTTGTTGTTCTTGTTGGCCATGGAAGAGCGCCAAAAATTGTTTGCATCGTTATGCGGTTCTAGCAGCGATTTGCGGTGTTCTTAAAAATTAAGAGCACTTTTTGCAACCGCAGCTTGCACAAAAAAAGAGTCTAGCATAGAAATCAAAAGTTAACTAAAATGATGTTGTGTCAGCTCTATTCACACTATTAATGTACGTTATCGGTCTAGATGGGGGTTTCCTTTTCCATTGTAGCTAAAAATCCAAATATCAGGTTTATCAGGCCCAAGAAACTCAATCAATAAGCCATTTAACGCCTAAGCATGTTCAACTTGTGCCATTGATATGCTTTATGCATCATATGGCTTAGGAAAGGGTATACACAAACAACAAATTTACAAAAAGTTATATATTAATTTAAATTAAATACACAGTCTCTACAACATTTTTTACGATTGATATTGGCGTTTTTCGCAAAGCACAGAGACTTTAAAATAAACAACAGAGAATAGTCCAGACCGTTCTGTAACCGTTGAATATTTTTCACACCGAACGATGCAAAATAAAGCTTTATTACTGAAAATCCACAGCTTTTAAAAATGACTCACCTAACAATATTATGTAGTTACCCATTATCAGAAAAGATGCTATCCTTATTCCACTACTCTCTAAATAATATTCTGCAATAAGATTTTTGAAGTGTTGTATAATGATTCATTTACATGAAAAGTTGAAAAAATAACTACAAATGCGGAATCAAATGTAATACTAACAATTTTAGGAATTGATAAGATTTTTACGACTTCATCTCGATCATTTTTCTTTCCTCATTAGTTCAAAGATTACTGAACATCCACTAGCTTCAAAAATTTCTCAACTAACAATACATTATCAGAAAAGATGCTATTCCGTTTCCACTACTCTTTAAATAATATTCTGCAGTAAGATTTTTGAAGTGTTGTATAATTTATAATTTAATTTACATGAAAATTTGAAAATGCGGAATTAGTTAAATGTAATACGAACAATTTTAGGAATTGATAAGACTTTTACGACTTCATCTCGATCATTCTTATTCCCTCGTTAGTTCAAATATTTCTACTAACAATACTATGAAGTTCCGCATCATCAGAAAAGGGGCTTTTCTTATTCCACTGCTCTCTAAATAATAGTCTGCAATAAGGTTTTTGAATTATTGTATCATCATTACATGAAAGTTGAAATAATAACTACAAACTCGGAATAAATCAAGAGCAATACTAAAAATAATTGTGCGACAATTTTAGGAATTGATAAGTGTTTTACGACTTCACGTCGATAATTCATCTTCCCTCGTGAGTTCAAAGATTTCGCACTCGAATAGTACACTTCAATTTATCTTGTTTATCTTCTATTCGAAGTTCGAATACCGTGAGGAAGTTTGCATTCCAAGCATCGACCAACTACTCGTAGCTTCAACATCTTCGTCGGTCTTTTATTTACCAAAGTCATAAGATCACATTCGCATAGTTTTCTGTTTTGATTATTGGCTTGTTTTGGGAAGGTCGTTTGCTCGGCTCGTTCTAAGTTTGTGTGTTACCTTTTTTGTATTATTACTTATATTCTTTTTATAATTTTTATCGTGTGGCTGATGTTGATGTTGATGTTGTTATTGTTGACTCACACATCGTTTTATATTATTTGTTGTTGCCACCGACTGTTCTTTTGGGCCAGTCGAGGCGTAAACTTGAAATTTTTTGACAGTCCGAGTGTTGACTTCGGCGATGCCTGACGCGTTTTGCATTGCCAAATTAAATTTGTTATGCCTTGTTGTTGTGAGTGTTGCCTTTTATAATTTACTACTACGTTTTGCTTTTATCGCAGCTGTCAGTAAATGGCGCTCGCTATGCTGCCCGTTTGTCTGGTTTTCAGGGGCCTGCGTCTGCGCATGCGCATGCGCCGCTGCCGTCGTTGTGATCGTCGCCGCTTGGCCATCAACATAGTACTAGCTTCTTCCGCAGTTATCAGTTAGGCGCTCAACTGCGTGTGGTGTGCGTCGGCGCATGCAAATCGTGCAATTGTGTCTGTGTCGCAGTCGCAGTCGCCGTCGGAGCCGGAGTCGGAGTCGACCTGGGCAATTAAGTTTTCCACTTGTTCAACACGAACTTGGCCCCAAAGTTCAAGACGCGCTCTAATTACAGCGACAAATGAAAACGACAACGCTCGCTACTCAGTTTCACTTTCGTAACGCTCTTAACCTTATTACATGGCACTGTATTTTGCCACAGCTATATATTTTATCTTTGTAATCAACAAGACTTTAACGTGCACCTTGAGGCATTAACTACTACTATGCTCTACTAGTTGTTCAAAAATAAGAGACCCACAACAAGCTTATGTGCATATGTGTATAATTTAAAAAAAAAAACAATCGTTTGTAATTGTGAAATTCTTGAACAAAAAAAAATTACGATTACAATTTCCTAAATTATAATATAGGTGTTATATAGTATATAAAAAGTGATGATTTGATACGATTTCCCACAGTTGGCATTTGTGCCTTGTCGATCCCTCGCATCGTCTCTATGTGTGTTTCAACGAATCCATTTTCTAACCGAATAATAAACAAGCATAAAATAGAAGCTACAATTCAATAAAATTAAAATAAAAAAATCGTTCGTGGATTTAGTCAAGCAAAATGGATAGCAGCAAATTATTAAAGAACGTCTTTGGCATCGACATACACTTTAAAGATCTCGTTTATCAAGTAAAAGCACCGAAACAAAAAGGTAAGCATTGAAACATCCAGCATAATCAATAGAAATATAATTAAAGATTAATACAATTTAAGAAACGAAACATCATTGCAAATTGTTTAGATTTCACATTTTTTATCAAATTTATACTGTACATATATTATTAGGTTTTATTATAGGTGTGATATTTTCATGAAAATATGTCCACAGCCAATTCTTTCCAAATCATTTAAAAATTTCATTATTACGGGGCGATCATATTTCTTAATATTATTATTACTCATGTCCAATAAAGAAGTTGGAACTGTGGCATTTAAGATGGTTGGTACCATTAGACTGAACATTATCTGACTATTATATCCAAACTTCATTAAAGATTTGGCTAGATTTTCACACATAGGAACAAGCAACAAAAAAATAAGCTTAAAAAAATGAAAAGAACCAACTTACTACCGTACTTTCCATTGAATATAACGTCCACATAGTGAATATAAAAAATATTGTTTCTAAACTAGAACGCCTTTTCATAGAAAATATATGGAAAGGGATCGCCAATGCAGATGTTTTCATAAACGATGTAGGCATAACAGTTTCGTGCGATTAGATTTAAAACTGAACACCTAGCCTTGTGTTTGTTGTTCATTTATAAATCATTAGAACGAGTGAAGTTAATTAGCAGTTAACTCTAGCTGGTACTTGGAAATGAAATTATTTAAATTAGATCGATTTAAAACCGGAAGCTTGTACCGGAACCAAAAATAAATTCCTCTTCCCATCAATCAACGGCAACATATTTAATTAAGACTATTATATTTTATCTCTGAATAAAGTGTGTTTTCTTAATTTCAACAGAAAAGAAATCTGTTCTAAAAGGTATTACGGGCACATTCAAGTCGGGGGAATTAACCGCCATTATGGGCCCATCAGGTGCCGGAAAATCTAGTTTATTGAACATTCTCACTGGCCTGAAGTAAGTTTATTTAAAAACTGAAAGTAAATATGACCACTAATCGCTCAATTACAGCAAATCTGGTGTGAGCGGGACTATTGAAATTGGCAAGGCGCGTAAGCTCTGCGGATATATAATGCAAGATGATCACTTCTTCGAATGGTTTTCGGTGGAGGAGACAATGCTGCTGGCAGCTACACTTAAAATCTCTAACAAATGCGTGAATATAAAGGAAAAGCGAATATTGGTAAGAATTTAATGCAAAAACTGAAGAAAAATGTCGTTTAACGAAGTCAAAACTCCACAGATCGACCACCTTTTGACTACATTGAAGCTGACGAACGCAAAGCAGACGAAGTGCTCAAAACTCAGTGGTGGGCAGAAGAAGCGTTTATCCATTGCACTGGAATTAATAGACAATCCAGCGGTGCTATTCTTAGACGAGCCCACAACGTAAGTGAGATGCATAAAATGAAACCAGTTTCTTGACTCATGCATTACACCTTGAACCCTTCCCCAGCGGCCTGGACAGTTCATCCTCCTTTGATACCATACAGCTGCTGCGCGGTCTGGCGAATGAGGGACGAACTATTGTTTGCACGATTCATCAGCCCTCGACGATCATTTACAATCTGTTCAACCTCATATACGTGCTGAGCTCGGGAAGATGCACGTACCAGGGCACGCCTCAGAACACAGTCGATTTTCTTAAAACTGTTGGACTTGATTGTCCAGCTTACCACAATCCAGCCGACTATCGTAAGTTAATGCCTGTGCTTCCTCATTGCATATGATGCTAGACTGTGTTCAGAAAATTCAAAATCTTAACCATTACTATTAATATTGAAAAAAAAAACTACAAATCATCTAAGCAAATCATAAATCTCGCCTAAAAATGGCAAAAAAAAAATATAAATTACTTTTATATTGTTATATTATGCTATATTGTTTGTTATATTGAAAAATTGTTTAAAATTCTAAAAGCAGTGAAATGCATGAAGATCATCGAAAAAACTCATCTAAAAAAAAAATAATAATTTATTTATTATTATGTTTGAAAAATGTATATATTATAATAATTTATTTAATTAATTTATATTTCTTACTTTGCAGTTCTCGAATGCGTGAATGGTGATTACGGTGACTATACTGAGGCTTTGGCAGAATGCTCGAAGGATTCACGCTGGTGCTACGATCAAGAGCTGCTGCAGGATAGTGCTGAGCCACCAAGCGAGGCCCAAGTGGCCAAGTTCAATGAGTTAAGAGGCCAGCCCCCGAAATTGACGAAAGCAGAGCCAACAAATGAGCTGACAAGGCACACATATCCCCCACCGGAATGGATGCGTTTGTGGCTGCTAATCGGACGCTGTCACTTGCAGTTCTTTAGAGATTGGGTACATGAGTTTAATTACTTATATAATACCACTTAAACTCATATGCAGATTATTTTCAGACCGTTACCTATCTTAAATTGTTTACGCACATTCTTTCCGCTGTAATGATTGGCTTATTCTTTGGAGACTCTGGTATAAATGCCACTAAACAAATCTCAAATGTGGGCATGATCATGGTCCACTGTGTCTACTTATGGTACACGACAATAATGCCGGCTATATTACGCTGTAAGTGTCGATTTCTTCTGACCACAGAAATTTCTTATATATTTCATCTTACTCTTAGATCCTCTGGAAATCGAAATAATTCGCAAGGAGACCTTTAATAATTGGTACAAACTGAAAACTTACTATGTCGCCACTTTAATCACTTCGACGCCGGTTCATGTGAGTAGAACTAATAGCTTGGAATCATATTTAGACCTCGCTCATTTTTGGACATTTATAGATCATGTTTTCCACCGTTTATATAACTATTGCCTATTTGTTGACTGATCAGCCAGTAGAAATCGATCGGTTTGTCAAATTTCTGCTGACTACCGTGGTGGTTACGATTTGTGCCGATGGCCTCGGCGTATTTCTGGGCACGATTTTGAATCCGGTTGTATGTATTCATATTTTTGTTATTCCAGATAGTGGTTTTAAAATTTGTATATTATCTATTTACAGAATGGCACCTTCGTGGGCTCTGTTTCCACCTGCTTTATGCTGATGTTCTCGGGTTTTCTCATCCTACTAACCCATATACCAGCTGCCCTTCGTTTTATTGCCTTTCTCTCGCCATTACGATACGCACTTGAAAATATGGTAATCTCACTCTACGGAAATAATCGCGACAATTTGGTGTGTCCACCAAACGAACTCTACTGCCATTTTAAGTAAGTTTGAATTCCTTTGAAATTCATCATATACTATGTACATATGTATATATTAAATAATGATTGATTTGTGTTATCGTTATAGGAACGCCATTACAGTATTGCGTCAGTTTGGCATGGAACAAGGGGATTTTGGATATAATATCCTTATGATTCTTGGTCAGGTAGCGCTATTTAAAATTTTGGCTTACTTCACACTAAAACGCAAGATTAAATGTGGTTGATCGCACTGCTCCGACACGGATCGCTGTATTAGCTTATAATAATACGAATTATTGTGATTTTATGTTACTTATCGCTTACTCACAGCGAACATTCTTATATCGGCGTGTGATACTTTAAATAGTTCAACGAACCAATTTAATGTTAACTATTGCTAAAGAATTGTGAAAATAGCAAATATAGTTTTTATACTGTTTTTTACAAATGCGATTGCATACATTTTCAAGCTAGGTAGCATATACTAAAAATAACTTAGGCTTAAGGCAATTGTAATATTTGTACATATATATTGAAAGTGGCTAAAATATAGAAAACGAAGTTTTCTTAAAAGGTGTATTTGCTTTTGTTTATTTTCTGATACATAGTATATGAAATCGGTCGACGGTTTAATTAATAAATTAAATTTATTGACAGAAAAATTACTGTTGTTTTTATCCGTGTGGATTACTTTCACAGAAGTTTAACAAAAAGAAACCATATTTTTACGTTATGATCATGTTATTTAATTAAAACCAATAAAATCATACATCAAACAACTTTTGTGAGATTTACTTTGCAAAACATACTTTTAACATAACACAAATTTGTTCGTATATTTTTAACATATAGCTTAGATCGACTACTAATAAAACGGAGAATTGCTTAAAAATACTTCTGATTCTATTTCCCATTTTCTAAAATCGCATTCACAATCACATTGAATTTAAGCATTTCAAACAGACAGTCTGGTAGCCCACTCGTAGCAATCGATAGCTTAAATATGTATCGAGACGTTTCAGTGCTGCCAGATTTTGCAAATTAGTAACCTGCATTCCCAATCAGACGACAGTGGTAGCATATGATACGACAAAACTTTTGCCAATAAAATAAATAATAAATAAGTAAAAAAAATTAGCAAATTTGTCCCTAAAAAGTTGAAATAATACACGGAAAATGTTTAAATCCAGTTTTGACAAAAATCTAGGTAAGTTGTGCATTAAATAAAGAAATACAAAAGCGACCAATGCAGCTGCAACTAAAAGTGACTCATCAAAAGGGGAATGAACCTCTTGAGATCCAAATATACTGCGACGCATTCTAAATTGTCTTTACTTACAGAGAATGCAACAAGCCACTTGCGCTTGGAGCCAGATTGGCCTTCAATATTATTAATTTGCGATGAAATTAATCAGAAAGATGTCACGTAAGTCCCACTACACACAAAGACATACACATATTGATGAAATGTTATATTTTTATAGACCAAAGAATGCCTTCGCTGCCATTAAAAAGAAGATGAACTCGCCAAATCCGCACACAGCCTGCTACTCGCTGCTGGTACTCGAGAGCATTGTTAAGAACTGTGGAGCACCCGTCCATGAGGAAGTTTTTACCAAGGAGAACTGTGAGATGTTCAGTAATTTTCTGGAGCAAACGCCACACGAAAATGTGCGTCAAAAAATGCTGGAATTAGTTCAGACCTGGGCCTACGCGTTCCGCTCTTCCGATAAATACCAAGCGATAAAGGTGAGTAAGCAAGCAATCAGGTCCAGTTAGTGGACATGCGCTGTCTGTACTGTCAGTGTATAATTTAATTAGTGTGGTTATTAGTCAGAAGAACAAATGTGTTTTGCTCCATTTGTAAAAGTCAAAATGAGCTCTGAGGAAGAACTAAGTTTGGAGGAAGATGTGCCACAAGTATCTATACGTTATCATTTTCGAAATCTAGCCTGTATTTTTAAATCTTCCTAGGACACCATGACTATTCTGAAAGCCAAGGGTCACACGTTCCCGGAACTAAAAGAAGCCGATGCCATGTTCACCGCCGACACGGCTCCAAATTGGGCCGATGGCAAAGTATGCCATCGTTGCCGTGTCGAATTCACCTTCACGAATCGTAAGCATCATTGTCGCAACTGTGGACAAGTCTTCTGTGGTCAGTGCACTGCCAAACAGTGTCCGCTACCCAAATATGGCATTGAAAAGGACGTACGTGTGTGTGACGGCTGTTTTGCGTCCCTGCAGCGCCCAGCCAACAAGTCTGGTACACGAGCGGCGGACAGCGATCTGCCAGCGGAGTATTTAAACAGTTCATTGTCTCAGCAAGTGCAGGTTAGTTAGATGCTCAGTTCATTTATAATACAGTCTGTATAATACTTTCCACATTATCAAGCAGACACCAGCGCGCAAGAGTGAGCAAGAACTGAAGGAGGAGGAGGAACTTCAGCTGGCCCTAGCGCTCAGTCAGTCGGAGGCGGAGCAGAAGAAGCAAAAACAACAACAGCAGCTGTCAGCTGCGGCTGCCTATCGCATGCAACAACGTTCGCCTACACCGGAGGCGCCACCAGCGCCCAAAGAGTACCAACAGGAGGAGTCAAATCCTGACCTGGCTAAATATCTGAATCGCAGTTATTGGGAGCAACGCAAGATTAGCGAGTCTTCGTCCATGGCTAGTCCATCGGCGCCATCTCCAATGCCACCCACTCCACAACCACAGCAAATTTTGCCTACACAACAAAAGGTAAGCCGTCATCCATCTCTGTAGAAATTAAAACGTCTTGTATGTGCTCGTGTCAAGTTTGTAATTAGTAAAAGTTCTGAACTTGTTCAAATCCATTTCTAAAGCATGAATACCCTTATTTTTTCACAGGGCACCGATGAGTTGCAAATTGACGAGTTTGCTGCCAATATGCGTACCCAGGTGGAAATTTTTCTCAACCGCATGAAATCAAACTCCAGTCGAGGTCGTAGCATTGCCAACGACTCCTCAGTTCAGACGCTTTTTATGACGCTCACCTCCCTACATTCTCAGCAATTGTCCTATATCAAGCAAATGGACGATAAACGCATGTGGTACGAGCAGTTGCAAGACAAGCTTGTGCAGATCAAGGACTCGCGTGCCGCACTAGACGTGCTACGGCAAGAGCATGTGGAGAAGTTGCGTCGCATAGCCGAGGAGCAAGAGCGACAGCGTCAAATGCAAATGGCTCAAAAGCTAGAGATCATGCGGAAGAAGAAGCAAGAGTACTTGCAATATCAGCGTCAATTAGCATTGCAGCGCATACAAGAGCAGGAGCGTGAAATGCAGCTGCGTCAGGAGCAGCAAAAAGCTCAATATCTAATGGGACAAACGGCTTCTTTTCCCTATTTGCCACCAGGTGGAGTTGCAGGAGCCCCGCCATCAGGACTTCACAATTCCCCCTCGCATCAGATAAACTCAGTTTACAAGCCCTTCCCTGTGCAAGGCTACCCTACGCCAAATGGACAGTTTGGTGTTCATGGCGGTAATCCCCTAGGCGTGCCACCGGGCATGTATAACCCAGCAATGCCTATGCCAAATTCTTCGCCACAATTTCATGGAGCGCAACTGCCAAATATGCCTCAGCAGGCAGGCAATATGATGGCGCCACCGCCCAATGGACAAATGCCAATTCCTTCCATGCCTGACAATCAAATGCCTCCCAGTCAAGCACACTTGCAGCAGCCCCAACCACAGGTACCACCCCAACAATTACAAGCAGCTGCACCGCCAGCCCCACAATTGGGTCACGTTATGCTCCAGCAGCAAACGGTGGTTCAATCACATCCACCAATTGTCAGCAACCCTCCACCACCCGCAGCACCACAGGTCGCTGAAATTGCGAACAATCAAGTACAGGCTGTGGCTGCAGCTCCAGCGCCACCTCAAAACGAACCCGAACCGCCGGCGAAGGCTGCAGAGCCTGCCACTGCCGAGCTCATCAGTTTCGATTAGACGACGATGACACATTCCAAGAGACAATGTTTTAAGAAACCATGTTCACACAACTACAATTTATATTCTCTGTATCCTTATCCAATGTTATTTCGAAATGTATTAACCATGTATTGTAGTCAAAATTCTAATTACATACGTGTATATTAATCACTTGGCGTCGGAGAGTGCAGCCACTCCAGGTAAGACTTTGCCCTCCAGGAGCTCTAAGGACGCTCCGCCACCGGTGGAGACGTGTGAGACTTTCTTTGCACCGCCGAACTGCAGACAAGCCGTAGCTGTATCACCGCCACCCACTATAGTTGTGGCTCCACCAGCTGTGGCTCCAACCACTGCTTCTAGCATGGCTTTGGTGCCGTTAGCAAAGACATCGATTTCAAAAAGTCCCGGCGGCCCATTCCAAACAATAGTCTTAGATGTGCAAATTGCCTCGTTAAACACCTCCACCGATTTCTCTCCTATATCCAATCCCATGAAGTCTTTGGGCACTCCCTGCTTTATATCTACTGTCTTCATTTGATCTGGCTTTTTGTCAATTTTGTTGGCGCATATAAAATCGACGGGCAATAAAATTTTAACATTCTTTTCCTTTGCCTTCGCCATGATATCCGGCACCATTTTGGAGCCCTTTTCATCAAACAGCGACTTTCCAATCTCCATGGAGTTCAATATCTTGAGAAATGTAAAAGCCATGCCACCGGCAACTATCATACCACTTACATTATTTAGGAGATTGGTAATCAGCGGGATTTTGTCGGCGATTTTAGCACCACCCAAAATAGCTAGGAAGGGTTTCTCTGGATTATGCAAGACCTTGGCAAAATATTCCAACTCCTTATCAAGCAAGAACCCTGCAGCTCGCACTTCATAACCCTCGCCCATCATCGAGCTATGTGCCCGATGTGCTGTTCCAAATGCATCATTCACATAAATGTCACCCATGGTGGCCAATTTATTACGAAACTCTTTCACCTTAGCCGGATCGGCTTTGATCTTTTTTTTATTCTCATCCTTGCTGCTGCCTTCCTCCTCGGCATAAAAACGCAAGTTTTCTAGCAATACGACAGCACCCTCGGGCTTATCTTTCATTACATCACTGATAAATGCCACCTTTTGGCCAAGCAGCTTTTCCAGTTCTTTGGCTACAGGCCCAAGACTATACTTTGGATTTTTCTTACCATTCGGTCGACCTAAGTGCGAGGCCAACACGACCGACTTGCACTTCTTTTCCAGAGCATATTTAATAGTCGGCAAAGCGGCCACTATCCGCTGATTGTTAGTTATCTTGCCATCCTTCATGGGAACGTTAAAGTCGACTCTGCAATTAGTACCCAGTTATTGCCTATATCTTCAGCTATCGACAATCTAGTTACCTCATAAAGACTCGTTTCCCGGCCACATCAACATTCTTAATGCTCAGTTTCTTCTTCATCTGTCCACCCTTGCCTCCATTACATCCATCCTTGCCATAGTGTCGTACGCTGTAGGTTTTGGTAAATGTAACATTTTCCTTCTGCTGTTCGGGTGACAATGAATCAACAATTTTGAGGATATGTCTTGTGAATCGCAGCATAACGAACAATTTTGATATCTGTGGGTGTGAAAAATGTTTAAAAAATTTCGAAACCAATTGAAACTACATAAATGTTGTAAGTCAAAATATCATTTTGAAGTTTCTATAATGCAGATAGCCCATTAATAAAATAAACTGTACCTTAATACTAATGGAGGTGTCAAGAAGAATCGCCCGATGATGGCGCATCAGAAAGAGCCGCAACGCCGATTAACTCCTTCCCCTCCAATAGGCGCACTGAGGCAACATGGCCAGTTGACACATGTGAGACTTTGCCAATGCCGCCAAACTTCTTGCAAGCAGTGGCTGTATCTCCACCACTCAGGACAGTCGTTGCACCACTTGTGGTGGCTTCAATCAAGGACTTTAGTATTGCCTTAGTGCCATTAGCAAAAGCCGCATACTCGAAAAGCCCAGGTGGACCATTCCAAACAATTGTTTTCGCCGGATTAATGGCCTTTCTAAAGAGCGCTACCGATTTCTCGCCAATATCCAAACCCACAAAGTCTTTGGGCACACCTTGCTTTATGTCGATCGACTTTATTTCCTTAGGGTTGATGGCAATTTCGTTGGCGCAAATAAAATCCACAGGCAGTATTATCTCCACATTGTTTTTCATAGCCTGTGACATTATCTCAGGAATCATTTTGCTGCCTTTCTCATCATACAGCGACTTTCCAATCTCCATACATTTTAATGTCTTTAGAAATGTAAAGGCCATCCCACCAGACAAAATCATGGCATTGACGTGGTTCAAAAGATTTTTTATCAACGGTATCTTTTCAATGACATTACCTCCACCTAAAATGGCCAACAAGGGTCTCTCCGGATTGTTTAATACCCTGGCAAAATATTGAAGCTCATTATACAGCAAAAATCCTGCAGCACGCATATTGTAACCTTCGCCCATCATGGAGCTATGCCTGCGGTGTGCCGTGCCAAATGCATCATTCACATATATCTCACCCATTGCTGCCAATTTTTTGCGGAATTCCTTCACCTTAGCCGGATCAACTATTATTTCCTGATGATAGTTTTTAGTGCTACCCTCCTCCTCCTCGTAAAAGCGCAAATTTTCGAGTAATATTACAGTACCATCGGGCAGATCTTGCTTCACTTCAAGACCATCTTTCCCAGGGCACTCGTACATAAAGTGAACTCTTTTGCCAAGATACCTTTCCAATTCCTTTGCTACCGGTAGGAGACTGAATTTCGGATTCCTTTTACCATTTGGTCGGCCCAAATGCGATGCCAACACCAAAGATTTGCAATTTTGCTCCAACATATACTTTATGGTGGGCAAAGCGGCTATTATTCTCTGATTATTCGTTATTTTGTCACCATTCATGGGGACATTAAAGTCAGCTCTGCAAAATAATTCAATTGTAGCTTAAAATTCTAAATATTTCTTATACTCCGTACCTCATGAACACACGTTTCCCTTTCATATTCACATCTTTAATGCATAGTTTATTTTTGATCGCGCTATAATTTCTATCATTTTTAGGCTCCTCGTGTATAAATGTTTCCAAAATCATAAAAGTATTTCACCGTAATGCAAACATTACTAAGAATTTGCAACGGAGTGTTAAAAAAAAGTTGATTTATTTTATTCAAAACTTAGAGGGAATGAATAGGGTGTGAGTGTTTATAGATGCCGAAAGATTTTATTAAAGAAAATCAAATCAGTTTAAGTTTTAAAGTGCATGGGTGCCGATCTTTGAAAATTTCGGATAAATTAAATTGGTAGATAAACAAAGTGTCCAAAGCTTTGAAAATACAGTCGTTTCTCTCTTACATTCAATGTTGCAGTTCTTATACGACCGTTTGAACTGAGTAAATAAATTATGTAGGCATTAAATATTTATAAAACAGTATGTTATTTTATATTATTGCAACTATTTCTATAACTAATACTTAACTACTTGAAACTATATTTAACTTTGGTAGTCATTTAAGCAAGAATGTTCTGGGAATGTCGTGCTGCTACCAGCTTAAGATATTCTTTTAATAAAAATACTCCAATCACAAATAAAGATGTCAGCCAACGTTTTCTGCTAACTGAGGCACCCACTACCTCATAAGCCAATATCAGCGAGCACAGATTATGGGATGTCACGAGCATATAATGCAGTTGACTACCCAAATCGGTTGTGTTATTGCGCCAAACCAAAATGGGCAGCAGAAAAAATTTTGAAAGATTGGATATGACCACCGCTTTTAGCAGAGTTATCGTAAATGAGCCCAGACCAGCTTTTGGAAATTTGATGCCACCACGCAACGTTGTTACTAGTAATAGAAGCAATGTAATAAACACGTAATCTGTGGATTTCAAGAAACATTTGGTCAATATAAAACTTTATGTTGGATTTACAAAATAATACAAACCTCCAATATTTTGCAAGACGCACATATAAAAACTTTTTTCGTTTACTGGCGAACCTGATTCATCATCACGCCTCTGACGGCAGAGTGCAAAGGATTCCAGCAACAGAAGCACCAGTGATATTTTCCAATAAAGCTATATGAAACTTGTTTACCTTAGTGTTCACATTAAATTTGTCCCTACATACATATGTACATATGTGCATACATATATCGTACCTTAAAGCTATCGTTATATATCATGTGGCGAAAGGCCTGTTGTGACAGGAGCAGAGCATCCAGGAGGATTATTAATTCCTCAAACTCGATGTACTTGTCCGCAACCTTCTTGCATTGTTCCTTTAATAAAACGAGGCATACATTCAAATTTATTCGTTTAGGATAATAAATTGTCTTACGCAGTGCGTGGTTTTTACTGTGTTGCTGTAGTTCTTGTGCAAGTCGCGCACGCCGTGTCCACAATTTATGCAAACGTATTTGGGCTTCTCTATCATAATGCAGTTCTTCGACTTTGATCACAGTTTGTAAACAAATTCATGGCAGAACAGCCGGCATCTTCAATGATTGTTCTGCCAGCTGTTCAGAGGGATGCCAGATGTTTCGTATTTTTAAACAACTGATGTTGATTGCAGTGTCACGAATTTAGTCTTTTCCCGTCAAATCTGGTTGTTTTTGAAATCACATTGCGGGAAGCGGGAATTCTGGCTTTTTAAAAATACATTCATTTTTCCGCTTTATGTAATTTTTCTAACATTTATGTAAAATAAACAAGTGGAGAATCTAAAGTCGGATGTCCCAACTTTAAAATAATCTGTACATGTATGTAGAATAATTATAAAAATAAACAATTTGAAAATAATAACGAAACTTTTTTTTTTTGGATAATTATACCTCCTTGGGTATTTAATCTCACGTAAAGGATGTATAACTGCACATTTACATAGCAATTGTGTCTATGTGAGTCTATGCCTGTTTATGAGTGCCTGCGTAAAGCAGCAACAGCAACAATAGCTGCGGGCAGCTATTTATCACTTTGTAGATAAATAAACATAATCATTAACTGGAGGTATTAGTCAAATTTTAATCAAAAACGTTGAGAAATTTGGGAGTTATGGAAAATCACTAATTGCTGTGGAGAGGGGAGGGGTAATTCCGAAATACACATTTTCTGCGTATTCACATTTCTATCTTGATCTAAGAGGATGGTGTCTCTAGGTCTTAAGTTTCTGAAATATAGGTAAATTAAATAAAATAATTAAATAATTAAATTAATTTAATTTAATTAAATAATTAAATAAATTAGTTTTTAACATAAACATACTTCAGCGACAAAACAAATAATAAAAGGCTATAAACTATAAAAAATAACGTAGCATTTGGTAAATTCATAAAATACACATTATTTCGATTGGTCAGAATAATAAGTGTTCCCAACAAATTTAGTAAAAAATATTGACAATTTTTAATTATGGTCCCGTATTTTGTTGAACTGATTAGAAGGGACTTAATACCCTGAATATCCGCCATTATTATTGATGACTTTTTCAATTTTTGCAGACATAAAGGATAGCAACTTCTGAAAAGTCTCTACAGGAATGTTATACTAAACCTTTTGAACAACATTTACACGACCTTTCTTGCCAGCGCATACGACGACACTGAACAAAATTCGCGAATAACAAATTAAACCAAGATTATCAATAAACCGTGAAAAATACAGTTTTCTAAGTATTCAAAAAAAAAAAATGTAGCTTTTTAACAAATTTTTGTAAAATTTTCTAGCTTTATTTCATTCTAAAAAATTGGCAACACTGGTTGAGTGGCACAATTTAATTTGTCTGGCAACAACGAAATTATTTAAAGACTACATATATTGTTTACTTGTGCATTGAAATCGAATCTTGTAAAACTCAGTTAATATGGGCGGAGGTGATTTGGTAAGCATATCCAAATATTAATTATAATTTCATTTGGTAAAACTTTCGAACGGTAAACGCAGAACTTAAAAAAATCATGGCATCCACACACGATGAAAAATCAGGAGCGTGTTTGGAAAGCGGAGCAGGCCAAACAGGACGAGCAACGCAAGCTAGATGACTTGCGCAAAGAAATTAATGAGGAACGCGACCGTGAGGAGCTTCGACGCCTGGGCGAGAGCTCTGGGGTCTTGGCCAGCTCAGGCGGCAACGAGGCCAAGCTGGAATGGATGTACAAGAGTAAGTTTTGAGAAAAAATATACGTATAGGTTAATCTTATTTAGGACTTTTCCATTTCAGACAACAGTGAACTGATTAATCGAGAAGAATACCTCTTAGGCCGCAAGATAGACAAATCTTTTGAAACTCTGCAGGCAGAAGAGCAACGTCAACAGCAGAACGTCATGGGAATCAAGCAATCAATCAATCATGTGGAGCACGAGTGTGTGCCCTTCTCTATACGCGAGTATCGCAATCTGCAGTCCACAGAACAAGTGGACATGCAACGAAAAACCATGGAAGATCCACTAATGCTAATTAAGCAGCGTGAAATGGAATCGCGACGCAAACTGTTGGAGAATCCAGTCAAATTAAAAGAAATACATCGTATATTGAAGACCGAGCAGGAGCTAAAAGCGTCCAAACGCAAAAAGAAGTCAAAAAAGTCGAAGAAATCCAAGAAAAAGAACAAGAAGAAGGCCTCTAACGATGATGGAAGTAGCAGGGAGTCCGCCAGCGATGACGATTTGGACAGAAAATTAGCAAACCAGGTTAAGAAACTAAAAGGCGATAGCAATGGTGACTTAAAACTGGACAAATTATTAGATGCTAAGTACAGAACAATATCAAAGCAGTTGGATATGGCCACCAAGCATAAGAGTAGCAAGAAATCTCGACATCGTCGCGACAGCAGTTCAAGTAGCAGTAGTAGTAGTACAAGTAGCTCTAAGAGTAGCAGTAGCAATCAAAGCAATGACGCACACTCTAGGCGCATAGACAGCCGCAGATCACAAAACAGCAGACGCGACAGAAGAAGCATAAGCCACACACGTACCTCAAGCAGAAGAAGCAGGAGTCACAGTCCGCGTAGGGAGCATCATCAAAAGATGCAACGTCAACGAAGCAGAAGCCGCAACCGTGAAAGATATTCTCAGAGACAGACGCCCAGAAGTCGCAATAGCCCAACACCTAATAAAAGATCGACGAATCATCGAAGAAGTCGTTCCAATAGTCCCGCAGCAAGGCACGATCGGCACTCACAACAGATGCGCTCAAATCGCCAGCGGCGAGACGTTTCTACTCCGGCTGCCGGTAAACAAAAACTTAGTGAAGCAGAGCGCGAAGCTCGTTTGCGGGAAATGATGGACAATGCTTCTTGGCGCGAAGCGGATCGTACACAGGCCGTGCAAAAACATCGCGAAGCATACGCACGTGAAGAGGCGCAATATCGGGCCAGCGATTTTGATAAGGAGTTCATCAACAAAGAGGTTAAAAAGGCCATTGCTAATCAAACCTCTATAGGCAATCGCATACGCTCCAACCTTAACAATATCCAGCGTACCTCTTCGGCCATGGATACAAATTTTGCTAGAAAATAATACAAACCTAGATGAAAATAACTGACATTATAGCGTAAGTTATCAACGATTTATATACTTACTGTATACTTATTATTACCCAATTCAATTCAAAATGAGAAATCCAAACAAAGATTCAAAATCCCCCCCTAGTCCAACTATTAAATGAGTTGGAAAGGTCAAGAATTTTGAAACTGAACAGCAGTCAGTGAAATATTTAGATAGAAATGGCAGCTTATACTTTACCGAGGTGCAAACAACATTTACAAAAATATCCTATGGTGTAATTTTAAAAGCTTCGAGTATATCATATCTGAAAAACAAAAATCTTGCAGAAAATACAATACATATGTACCTATAACGCATGGTCCACCATTCCACCTTTCATTGAAGGTCATACAAATAGTGAAATAACAGCTTAGGCACTGATTTTGTACATATAACTTCTTTAACTTAATTTCGCTTTATTGTATTCGTGTCCTGCCACTGTTTGATAATAACAATAATATTGAACTTTGGGCTTACGAATTAAACGCATCCGGCAACAAGAAAAAGCCTGGACACGATTATTACATAAATATTGCATGAAGAGAGATATCGGTAACATACATCAGTAGTGAGTTGAGTTGTGAGGTCTATATAAATAGGGGGTGACTGTGCGCTTAAGCATTCGACAAAGCAGCCACACCTGGCAGTGTCTTTCCTTCCAAAAGCTCCAGAGATGCGCCGCCGCCTGTTGACACATGCGATACGAGAGCTTCAGTATTCCACTTGGCGCAGCAAGAGGCAGTGTCGCCACCCCCAATAATGGAGATAGTTCCATTCTTGGTAGCTGCCACCACACCATCCATGATTGCCTTCGTGCCGTTGGCAAAGTTGGGGAACTCGAAAACGCCGGGAGGTCTAGGCATAAAGAAAACTATGATTATTACCAAATTATATCTCTATTCGATCACTAAATATATCGGAGTTTATTGGACTGGTTTCTTAGAGCTTTAAAAAAATTAGGCTGTTTAAATGTTTGTATCAGTATAGTGTGTTTTTAAATAGTGTGTATCAAATCTTAATTCCTCGGAATGAATTAAAAGGGATAGACATTGAAAAAGCACGTAAAAAATTATAATACTTATGAAATTTTGTTTCTTTTTGACAATGAATTTCACTTTAGAAATTTAGTCTGCATTTTCATAAATAGACAATGAGAGAAACTCCACCGATTGGTGTTCAATATATAAAGGTATAAGCTATTAATCTCAGGGGGAAAATAAATTTGAGCTAGATATTTTAAAAAGAGAAGAGCACTTACCCGTTCCATACAATAAGCTTGGCGCGTGCAATTGGTGCTGCAAACAACTCACGCGTCTTGGGACCCACATCCAGACCCATGTGACCATCGGGAATGCCACTCTCAACGGTAGCTTCGCTGACAGTTGCATTCTCTGCGAATTTATCGCCACAGATAAAATCTACAGGCAAATGCAATTGCACATTATTCTTCTTTGCTTTGTCGACCAGGTTCTGTACGATCTTGGAACCCTCTTCATCGAACAGGGAGCCACCAATCTTCATGTTGTTCAAAACTTTTAGGAAAGTGAAGGCCATGCCACCACCAATTATCATCTCGTTGACCTTATCAAGCAGATTTTCAATTAGCTGAATTTTGTCAGCGACCTTAGCACCACCCAAAATGGCCAAGAAGGGGTTTGGTGGCTTATCCAGAGCCTGTGAGAAGTACTTCAGCTCCTTGTTGAGCAGCAGACCAGCTGCACGCTTTTCGAAGCCATCACCCATCATCGAGCTGTGGGCACGATGCGCTGTGCCGAAAGCATCGTTGACATAAACATCACCCAACTTAGCTAAGCTGCTGCGGAACTCCTTGACCTTGGCTGGATCAGCTTTCACCTTGCCACCACTGGCGTCCACACCTTTGCCCTCTTCCTCCACATAGAAGCGCACATTCTCCAAGAGAATTACACTACCAGGCGCTGGATCTTTGCAGGCAGCCTCCACTTCGTTGCCGACACAATCATTCAGGAATGTCACATTTTGACCCAAGAGCGTCTTCAATTCATCAGCAACGGGTGCCAATGTATATTTAACGTTCTTATTGCCATCTGGACGACCCAGATGAGAAATTAGTACCACAGATTTCGCCTTCTTGGAGAGCGCCAACTTAATGCTATCCAATGCGGCTACAATGCGCTGATTGCTGGTAATCTTACCCTCCTTAATTGGCACATTGAAGTCAACGCTAGAAAAATAATCCTTATGCAATTTTCGATTTTTAATGGATTCTATCCAGCAACTTACCGCATCAGTACGCGTTTTCCAGCCAAATCTAGATTTTCGATGCTCAACTTATTGAATGCCATTCTGCTGAAAAATCTAACAAACTTCTGGATACTTTTCGTTTGTGCGAATCGGCTCAGCCCACTTCTGATGAATGTTCAACCCACAACTGGTGGCACGGCAATGTCAACGCAAGGTCATTAGCGGGTAGGTTGATTAGGGTTGCCAATGGCTAGTGGCCTTGTGCCGGTCGCAAAATGTGGCATCTTTCTATTCCCTAAACCTGCATAAAACCTCAACTATATTGTTAGGAATAGAGATAGATTAATACAAATTATATCAATTGCTTTGATGTACACTTAAAAGTAACGTTTTTATTTTAAAATACATACGCATGCAACTCTCGCCATCTGTGTTGGACAAACGCGCTTTTGTCGTCAGTGTTGAGAAATGACTGGCGCCAGCTTTAATTTAAAGTAGAAGTAAAACTATACTGTTTCCGGCTTAAAGTATTCTAAATAGTTGTCTAGTAGAAACCTAAATTTAACGAATACAAACAAATAAAAATACACAATAAATATATTTTTAGCTACGTTATTATATTTTTTTCTAAAGTTTGTAAAGTAATAAAGAATTTCATTGATAAGAATTGAATACACTTTATAATTATATTTTGCTTTTGTTTGTGTTTATGATTTAAAAAATTCAAATATACAACTTATTTTTAGTATATGTTTTTTTATGAACAAATTAATAAATTGAAAATGTATTACTTTCAGAAACGCTAGCACTAAATTATATTCATATCGTACAATAAGAATTGAGCAAGAATGAATATTTTGTTGATGATTACAATTTTCTACATTTCCCTTCATATTCATATTACACATACAAATATTATTTGAAAAAAAGAAACACTTTATTTGTTACATGTAACAGCTATTAAATTAAAAGATTTCCGAATCCCTTCCTAAAAAGTTTCACAGAAAATAAGTTCTTTAAGCATCGCCAATGTAGTTGTAATACTGCAAGTTATAAATTTATTGTACATTTTGAAATTTAAAAACAAAAAATATTATAGCAAAGCTACTGTTATTTCATCAAATAACGTCAAATAATGATTTAATGTTGAAATCAGGAAAAGGATGCTTCCGCAACTGCATGACTGCGTACACATGTATGTACATGCTTCTGGCACAATGGTCCACAGTTTATCTTTTTTCGGCATTTCAACCATAACGACGAATCGGAGATTCACACTCATACACACACGCATATTGTGTTGTTGCATATACGAGTACACTGAAAATGACGCAAACATTTGCTCTTCCCCATGATTCATTCATGTGCTGCTCACGCGCTATATTTCTCTCACTGCCAGGCTCTCTGCCGTCGCTTGGTGTCGTCGCACTTCCCACTATCCACTTTCCACATCGGACCGAGCGTCAATGCACAAGAAAATGTGCGTCAACGTTAACGCATATACCAACAACAGCCAACAACAAAAGCAACGATGCAACCCATGCAAGCCTATTCGAAGCTTTTCAGCCAGAGCGATTCAATTGGCTCTTCTTGTGCCGTTTTGGTCGAAGAATGTGCTTGATACCAAAACGGTGCCCCAACTGGCTCGCCATGTAACTCGCATGTCATGGGGGCAAGTGGACCGGCACAAAGGTGTTCGGCATTAATAAAACCAAGAGCTTTTTCAGAAAGAATCAACCCAATTGGCATACAAACGCAAGTACATACATACATACATATGTACATATGTACTTGTATGTATGTATATCTACAATACATATAAATCATACATACATTTTTAATGGTCTATGATAACAGGACTACCTACAACACATCCACTGCAATCATCCCTACACTTACAAAAACATTACGTTATAAACCAATATAAAAATATTTACTATTTCAAAATAAGCCTAAAGGCTTGAGTTGTTTTAGCTTCAAGTTAACAATAATGTTAATAAATAACGATATTCAAATACTTAAAATAAAAGCCAAAAAGCATCAAACTTCTTTATTAAAAATAACAAAATGGCTGATTATTTTTGTAATTTAAATCCATTATCAAAGTGAATTTTGTATTGTCATGTTTATAAAAGGGATATAATTTCTTAAAACTATTTATTCTGAATTGTATTAAGCAGATGAAAAGTAAGAAGGCCAGCACGAAATGAAATATTATAGGTCTTGAATACAGAATCACGTAAATTTATGCTTAGGTTTTAAATGCTTTTAAAATTTCGTGAACGTTTTTATATCGTCATTTGAGTCCCGCGTCAATAAGTGCTGAATATTAAAGTATAAAGTACATTCCATGAATTTGCGTAATTGTTAAATCATTTTAGTAAAGTAGAACAAGTGGGTTATAATTAAGTTTTGGATACAATATTTTGTTTTCAACACACTTATTTCATCGATTTTAGTTCGGAATTCTTGATTTTTCTATAGTTGTAACAGCTGCGATTGGATAGAGCGTCATAGAGTCATAGAGCGTTTTGAGAAAACTACTCCTGACTGTATTATAGCTTTTTCTGAGTGTACACATATTGTAAGCAACTAAGAATGAGGAATTCTATTTATACACATGGCCTGGAGTTGTGGGTGAAATAAATGTGCTTTGCACTTATTATGATGTAGAGTATCATTCGAATCGTATCAGTCCTGTGGAAAACTAAGCACATGTCAGCGAATCAAGAATCGTCAGCGGACGACAACGACAACGACGACGCAGAAGTCAAGTCGTTCATACTCGGGTAATCATCAGAGCTCATGTGTAGTATTCGACCTATCAAAGTGCCAAGACACTTGGCAGTCCGAGCTGTCGCCCCCGTTCCCGCTCCTCACTGCAAACCTGTTTACGTTGTTTTTGTGAATGATTTGTGGTCTCTTCACACACGCTGATACAGAAGCGGAGATAGAACAGAGGCAACACAGCAGCTAACTTACAGGTGGGCCGCACTGTTAAAAGAAATGTTTTTATCGTACCGTTATAATGCCCTAGGAACAATCAACAAATAACTTACTGAACAAAGATGATTCGCACTTGTTTAATCAGATGAATATTTAACTCTGAGCTTCTATTCGTTTTTTTAAGTAAACACATCAACCTTGACTGATATTAGTTAATAAGTATCCATAAATAAACAATATTTGATACAGAATAGTTGTTATGTTTGTAAAAATGCTTACTCATGTATTGTTATGTTGTTAAGTACACATATCTGTATGTATGTCCGTGTGCGCAAATATCGATTGCCCACCCATATTATAAAGTTGTTCACACTTTTTGGTGTAACTGCAAAAACACATAGCGATGCATTCAAATACCCTGAAAAATTATCATTTTATTTTATAACCAATCTAGTAAGTTTTTTGTCAAGTTTTAAATTATGAGCAGTTGCAGCTGTCAAATGATCCTCAAATTCCCAGAAGGACAAACGTCACTATTTGAGGTAGTACCCTCATTTAGCATTTACTGATAGCTACCTTTCGTTTAGCACGCAACAAATTGTTGCCTGCTCGTGCGCTACGAGAACAACGCAATTAGGCCTCTGACCATCGGGCTTGGCATATCGCAGTACTATACCCTTATCGCGTACTTCCACAACTGTAAAAGGGCGGTGCGTACACAAGCATGGATTTTTAGCCCTCATCATCTATACCTAAGACTTGTTCAATACCTTGTTCAAATAGTTGTTCGTATACTCGTATGTACATATGTATGTCAGAAAGCTGAACCTATATCAAGGTGGTAACCACTCCTCTCTTTTGAGTGGTCAGGTACATAACCTTGATCACACATCTCACATATGTACCTACATATATATAGTAAGATATTTCGAGGGAAAAAATATAATTAATACATAAAGTAAAGTAATGCGCACATATAAAAATTTTTAAAATTTAGCATATCTATAATTAGAAACTCACTCGATCTAAAATGTATAATGTCCGTAACTGATAATAAATACGTACTATATGTCACGATGGTTCAGCAAATAACAAATGTTTAAAGTAAAGCCTCAAAAGGTGCTGTTCTTAGTTCGAACTCTGAACCATTTCTTCTGAACGGGCTACTGACAAGCAAACTTGTCCAAATATGACCACACTATATAAGTATAAAGAAATATCCCCAAACTCTAGTATGTACTATACATTTTATTATTAAGTTGGCCGTTCTTCTTTAAAATTAATCAAAATTACGTACTTTCTTCACTTATTATAAGAGAAAGAGAAGTTTACAAAACTTAACTATGTTGTTTGACATTGGTGGTGGTGGTCTATTTATTTATTATCCTAATTATAAGTAGTTGTTTCAGTAGTTTATACCTTACTTTATATATTGTTTTGGTTCTCTTCTTATGCATTCTTATATTTACAGGAGATTTTAGATTTTGTGGTACATGTTGGATGTTTTTATGAAGAGTAGGATTTTTGTATGTTATCTAGGTTGAGGTTGCTAAGGAGGTTTAGAGCGGTTCTACTTTTAATTCCGTTAAACAACCATAGTATATTTGAGTCATTCTGTCAACTCACTTAGATTAACTCATAGATAAGCTAGGAACAGAAAAATATACATATGCAAATATTAATTTATTTTATTGGTTCCACCTCAAAGATGACAGTTATGTTCCCAGAACCCAGAAATATATAGGTAATTTTTCCCTTTATTCTATACAAACACACATATAGTAGAGAAAATGTCAAATTTACCTTCTGAGTGTTGTATAAGAGTAAGTACGTACATATGTATGTATGTATGTATATATGTTCTTGTACTTCATTTTCATTTTGGTGAACCATGCCAAGTTTATTTCATTCGGTCTATTAGCGTTTTCCTTTTTCGTGAGAGCTTAGATAAAATATAAATGATATTGATTCGGAAAATACTTATATGTTCCACAAAAAAAAAGTCGTGATATCTGAAATTTAATGTTATTCAAAAGGCCTAAACGGTTTAGTTCTACGTGCTTACTGCTGTAACACTGCGTTTTTAGGCCCCCTATAAGCATAGCCTAGATACTTCTATATATGTAAGTGTATGCATTAATTGGCCTTGTAATAATGTGAAATGGTTAAATTAGGGTGAGATGAGGTTAGACTGATACACAAAATAAAAAGCAAGCTTTTAATGTCGCGCATGCTTACATTTATGCCCTATACCCGAAGAATTATATTAGGAATTATATTAGGTTTGTGCAATGTTACAGGCAGAAGAAAGCATCTTCTACCTCATAAAACCTTAATCTGCACTACAAAATAAACTTTATTAAAATAATAATTAAATTATTTCGAACCCTGGTCAAAGACCCATTGATAAACAATTTCTTTTTATTTTATGTATAACACCGACGTACCCCTATTACTTTACCAATTAAATGCATACTGTCTTCCTGGCATTTTGAAAATAATTTCTTTAATGAAATTTCACACAAAATTTAAAAATATGCAATTGCAAGAGAAACGGAAAAATTGTTATAAGTAGTAGAGGAGTAGGGAGATGCATCGATGAAAAAAAAAAACTTAGACGTGTTTTTTCTAGGTAAGACCTAGCTACAACACCAAGTTTGGGTTTTTTAACTATTATACATTCAATATTAACCCAACAATATTTATGGATCTATTGGATATATATCCATTCTTGAACATCCGCGAAAGCACAACCCATATACTCATTTAGAGGAAGGTGCATTAACAGGGTGTTAGTATTCAGAAAAACAATGTGAGAACACAACCACTAAGTGTACGCCACAGCACTCAATTGCACACTGAAATCTTGAGCAGCAACGACCGCACCACAAAACCAAGACGCAAATCGGCTTATCAAGAATGTTAGGGCTCACCGACTCAAAAGTCACTTTGGCTTGCCTGTAGTCGTCGGTGCTCACATATGTATGATAACTCAATGATTGTCTCTGTGCCGCACGATTACAGGTGTTTGTCATGGCCAACAACAGCAAAGCGAACGAGCTTACGTTGCCGGCACTCAAAACTGGTAGAGAGAGGCGGCCGACAAATCGACAGTTTTAATTAGCGATAGGTAGGGTGGTCGGCTGTCTTCCATAATATTCAGATTGCTCGCTCACATAAATATGTATACATACATATGTGTATGGACACATGTATTTGTTTTGGCATATAAAATATACACATAGCGTCCGGAACAAGGCAAACGGCAGCACTGCCAAATCGTACTCTGTATTATTGTCTGGAGCGATGGCTCATTAGTTAATTCCTGAACTAACTTACTTGATTCACGTAACGAACGGAGTCAGTAAATAATAGAGCCACAAGCATGCGATCTAAGAGATAAATGGAACATCTTACAGAATGGGGGTGAGCCTTGGTTGAAAAATGTTGTATGTACATACATACAATACATACATATGTATGTACATATTATTGCACTCTACGTTTTCATGTTTCATTAAGTCGACCATTTAGACTCCTATCACGATCTTGAGTCGCTTAAAGCTTATAAAAATAGAATGAATAGTTTAATATAAAACTTGAGTAGACCTAAAAAAGGGGTTTATTTAAAAAGTTCAAAAAGTAAATAGGAGTGGAATTTCATTGTAAATCTAAAACAATGTACACATGTGTATGTGTATAAATATACTTTTTCGTGTAATCTAAGGTAAAATATACAAAAATATGAAAAAATGGATCAAACAAATAAAAGATACATACATATAATGTGTTATGTACAGTGACGAACAAAATTATTGGCACAGTTGGCATGTCTGACTTTCGCACAGTGTTTCTCCATGAAATATGGTGATATTTAAATAAAACAAATTTTATTCATATACATTGATCAATTTCCTACTAAAATTACTTTATTTCATTCATTTATATTTTTCCATTAATTTAAGAAAATTAAAAATATAAAAAAACAGCCGTTTTCGCCTGAACAAAATTATTGGCACACTTAACCAAAAATACTTAAAATTAACATAAATAACCGTTTTTAAACATAAATTAATATTTTGTGGCTAAGCCCTTAGGTTTAATGACTGCTTCCAAGCGTCTGGGCATCGAAGAAACCAAACTTTGAGTGGTTTCTGATCCAATATTGCGCCACTCCTCCACCAGTGCCACCTTCAGCTCGGCCTTTGTAGATATAGCGCGTTTTTTTACACGTCTATCTAATTCTTCCCACAAATGTTCGATGGGGTTTAGACCTGGAGATTGGGGCGGATGCAGCAAAGTATGTTTTACATGATGTGCAAGCCACATGCGCAGATCATAAGCCGTATGCTTTGGGTCATTGTCGTGTTGATACTTTCCACGTTATAGTTCATTTATTTTCATAATTTTGTGAAGCAACAAACTACTACCCAGCACCTTCGTGTTCAAAAAACCTATAAAAACATTCTGGATAGACCACATTCCATTGTTTAAATAAATATTTTATAGATTCAAAAAATTAAACTAACATTTATACATACATACATACATACGTATGCACATATTATGAATGTATATTTGAAAATATATACATACATGTATGTATGTATATGTATGCTAGTTTGATTAATTACATACTTATGTACATATGTAATAGTTTTTAAAATGGGATTGATTTGAACATGCATACATATGTATGGCATATTGGTTTATGTATATATGTATGATACCTATGTACATAAATATGCAGATAGGTTACTACATACATACATATGTACATTCGTACATACATTCATATGTACATTCATACGTATACCCTTATAATCTTGTGCTACGTACAACAAGCAATCTCTGTTATAGAGTGTGCAACCAACAGAGAATTGTACTAACGCTCGCTACACAGTCACAGTCATGCGAACCACCAGGCAACGCCACAGCCACAGCCACATCACCCACCACCTACCCCTTCGTGCAGCTCCAACGCCTGCCACCAACAAGCTGCAACACTTCCATAAACAGCAACAATAACAACAGCCACGCTAAAGACGACTGACTCACGCGCTATCGTACGCTATGACGGAACGCCAAACCACCAAACCAACAGACGAACCGCCTGTCAGCCCCCAATGTATCCAACATCTACAGACCAGCAGCAGTAAGAACAAGAAAGAACTACAACGCCTGTCACACGAACAAATAATACGAGCCGCCCGGCAATTTTCAAATTTACCGCCAAACGTACCGGCGAACGTCGGCGCTGACTGTACTCAAGAAACCCAAGCAGATTTTGTATGGAATTAATCACGAAACCCACTCGAGGCATCAATTTTAGATTTCATTTTGATCGTAGAGCATCCATAAAAACGTCAAAATTAAGCCAGGAATTACGTCTATCGTCCAAATGGGGTCCTAGGATTATACAAATAAGGATTTAGGAGCAATGGATCAAAAACTAGGCGTCTGCCAGCTGCCTTATGTTGCTCGCATACTTATCAAGCGGTCAGAAATTTGTCTTGCTTGGGATTGCGTTTTCAGTCGAGTACGAGCCTTCAACGGGTACACATCGGTGGTTAGAAAAAGCCTGGAAAATTAAATAACAAATAGACAAAGCGAGTGGTTGGCCAAGGCACAAATATCCTCCTGAATATGCGAGCAGATATTTTTAATGCCTCTGACCGACTAAGCGCCTTAATTATAAAATACTAATTTTTATAACAGATATTTTTTGAATTTAATTTGGTCGTCTTTATTATTGTTCTCGCTGTTGCCGTTGTTGTTGTTGTTGTCGCCTTCTCTCTACTTTGCCGACTGCTGCTGTACAAATGCCGCAATGGTTTTTGTTGCAGTGTGTGGGAGATAGAGAGAGAGCCATTGAGTGAATTTAACTGCAGAAGGCAAGAGCGAGCTCAATACGCGCGCAAACGACCGCGAGAGAGAAAACGAGAGCCACCACACTCGTACGAGAGCACAAAAATAGTATCTGTGTGTTGCCTGACCGCCTTCTAGTGTGGATGCGTGTGTGTGTGTGTGTGGATTGAAAAAGTTAAATACACACGCCGTGCGAGACATTCGGACAGTGTGTTTATGTGCTTCGTGCGGTGCGGTTCTCGTTTTTTCCGAATATTTGCGCTAATTTCAACAATCCAACCAATTTTTCGAACAGCAATCTAAAGCGGAGTATACACATTTTGCTTCTTTTTTCAACTGAACGAATACAAGAGAAGCTGTTAAATAGAATAAAATCAACTATATTTACAACAAAAACATATATACACATATATATATATAACCGCTCGTGTTATATAATTTTAAAATAAGTTTTGAAACAAGTTCAAACAACCACAAAAATAAGAAAATGTCTGCAGCCACAGAACAACAAAACAATGGTGATGTTGCCGTAGAGAAGGTTGCCGCCAGCGACGATGTTGCAGCGGTAAAGGAGGATCTCAAAGCCAAAGCGGCGGCCGAGGATAAAGCAGCGGCTGATGCTGCTGGCGACGCCGCAGCTGACAATGGCACAGCGAAGGATGGCGAGGATGCTGCCGATGCGTCTGATGCTGTTGCCGCGCCCGCAAAGGATTTAGTAAAAGGCACAAAGAGGCCAGCTGAAGTAAGTAAAAAAACAAAACCATTAACATCAACGGAAACAAAGTAGCAGTGGTGGGAGGAAAAATAAAGGCATTCACTAGTACAGTTCTTGCCTTTGCTATTAACACTAATCAATTTTTCTGTTTGTATATTGAGTACATTTATATATATATACATGTGTGTGTGTGTGTTTAACAACAAAGCCGCTGAAAACAAACGACGCACTTGTTTTGTCTCTTGTGTGCTCTCGGTGCCGTTATCGTTATCGATCGTGCCATTCATCGGTTGTTTTGTTTACGCGCTAAATTTTGCTTTAATGATTCATATGTAGGCAGAGTTAGAGAGCCCCACTTGTGTCTGCTGGCGATCATCGACATTACAAAATGCGTTAAAAATTAAACTTTACGAAAGGCATTCAGAAAAAAATGTTCTAGAAATAGATACACACGTTTTCTCAGCACCTTTCTATCTTGTTGGCGTTTACCACTACCACGGCCAACGAAATCCAGAGAGTGGGAGAGGCAGAGAGCGCTAAAATGTGCGCGCGCTCTATTATATACTTGCGCAGTATGTGAATACAAATGATGGAAGAAATTATGTACATATTAGTGTGTTGTTTACGATTAAATTTAAGATGATTGCAAAGTAGTAATCAAAGATTATTGTTGTTAGGTTCAAATTGAGGTTAGACTGCCAGCCACATTGCTGCGCTGGTACAGTTATTGAGCACATTTGTTTTGTATCTGTATCTGTGAGGTAGCACTGAGCTAAGGGCAGAGAATACGCTAATGTATTTTTAATAAATTTTTTCATTAATATGTATATATACATATATATACATGCTGAATAAGCCAAATCAAATACATTGTAGAACAGGTCATTAACACTGACGTGTACCAAGCAAAAATATAGAGAAATAATTCTAAAACGTTGTACTTACTTACATATGTATGTATGTAGTAACCTATCTGCATATTTATGTACATAGGTATTTAGCAGGCAGCGGCCTTGCAACACCCGCACACAACATAATAATTATTTTTTGCATGTGCATATGTTTGTATTAATGTCGACACGATAATTCTTATTAAGCATCATGTACATACGTATGTATGCAACTGCTAGTTAGGAGAGAAACCATTATACTCTCGAACACTGGCTATTTGTCTGCATTTGGCCTTATTATTAATTCACGACGCATTGCAATTCGCAATTGTGCATTGTTCCAAAAGTAGCAGCAGCAGAAACAACAACTTGGAAGTGTTGTCGCACTGACAGAAAACGCGCTCTCAGCAACGACACCTCAGGTAAAGCCGGCCGGCAGACGCCATATTAGATGGCGCTCATGGGGCAGTCGAGCAAGTTTTACTGTTCAAAAACATTCCATTCCTTTTGCCCCCATAATAATCGGAAAAGCAATTTTTTGATAAAAATGAAATTCATATACATACACATACATACATATGAACATATTTATTTTTGTAGACGAAAGCATAAAAAGCGGCACATAAATTAGCAAATCAAACGATTTGACAACTCAAACGAATGTACAGTTTTAGCTTGTATGGTGAGCGGCGAGCTCTTTCTCAACTCTCTTCGTCCTCTCTCTCTCTCTCTCTCAGGCGGCAAGTAGGTCTCTCTTCTCATCTTGTAATTGCCTATGTATTGTATTTGCGAGTTTGCGTGTGTATTTATGTGCGTACCTACATTTATCTTTCACTTTTTTTTTTGCTGTATGCGCGTATTTATTTTGGTACATGTAGTACTGCATATAAAGCAAACAGGGTGGCTTATTACGTAGAATCGTTTGTTGTAATTGGCAGTGCTGCCAAGTCTTTGAGTTGGCGCAAAATTATGAATTTGTTTACTAGTTGTTTTTTGTTCTTCAAAACCAATTCCATACATTTCGGTATATTGTTTCCCTAAAGATATTTATATTTTCCATTGCTTGTTTTTATTTATTTTTCTTGTCATCCAAACAAGCCTTCCTTATCTACATATCTCTACTATTAATCAGTTTTCTTTGTTCCAAAAACTCTTGTCTTGTGTTACTTGGTTCGATTTCAGAGCGCCTTAATACCCTCCCTCCCTTACTTCGGTTATTATTTTTATTTTTAACAATCGATGCGGTAAAATCATGTATGTATTTACTATTTATATGTGTATGCTACATACTGGTTTTGCTTTACATAGAAACGTGACCGCTTATGTATTTGGCCCGCTCTTCAACTAAGTTGAACCCACGCACAAGCTGTGCCGCTAACCAGCAGCACGTTACAGCAGCGACGTCGTCGTCTCAGTTTGCGCCTTTTTTTTGCTGCTGCTGCAGATGGCAAGTTACATGCTCTGCGTTGTTCACTGTATGTGTGTGTGTGTGTGTGTCGTTCATTCATGCAACTTTGTTGGCTCATTTGGGACGGCGTTTTCAGGTACAGTTTTGGCTTTGCCTGCACTACTCACACATACAATCGAATATTATGGTGGCAGCTGCGCTGCGTTATTTGCGTCGCTGCTTTCCCTTCTGCAGTGGGTCGAACGCACGCTTGGCTGCGCTGCTCACTGTGACTAGTTTTTATATCTCACGAATACGGTATGCATATGTATCTATCCCCTCTGCGCCGCCGCTGTAGTTGTACTTATTTAATAAATATGTACATATGCATGTATACATATACATACATATGTATGTATACTCGTAGTAAATATGCCGTCTTTGTAAATAATATGTAAACAAGCAGCGCTGCACTTGTATACATGTGTATATGTACAAAACGTGGCAATAGCTCTCTCCCTCTCTCTTTCAATGCCGCTTTTGCGCTCTCACAGCTGCTCCTTGCTCTCTTGGTTTGGTGCGTGCTAGAGCGAATTACATTTGACGCGCGCATTTTTCAAATGGGTTTTTTACGGCGAAAATAACGATTTTTCTTCAAGCCCGCCTGCGCCAATGAAAAAGAGTAGTTTTCTTTTCGACATTGTTTTATATTCTGTGTGGGCTTTAAATATACATTTTATAGCATTTTGCGCCCATGTTTTCTCATACAGATACAGACATGTATACCCACATCGTTACATACATGTGGATGGGGGACATGTAACGGGAATTGTGCGTTAATTTTATGTTTTGTTGGCATGAACCGAACATTTTGATGCCCGGTGGCTGTTGTTTGCCCTTGATCAAGGAGATGTGTGGGTTTGAGTTGGGCGCATTGGACCCTTTTTAATGCTGCTACTGTTGTCCTTGCTGTTTTGTGTATTGTGTATTCTGTACTTAAGTCGTTTTCTCCTTCTTTTTTCCAGGCAAAATCCGCCGAATCAAAGAAAGCCAAGAAAGATAAACCCGCTGACGGTGATTCCGATGAGGAGGATCCCGAAAATGATGAAAGTGATATGGGAAGCGATGAGTATGACATCCCCTACGATGCCGAGGAAGATGACATTGAATGTGAAGGTAAGGCTGTTGCTAAAATTATTTAACAGCAAAGGCAAAGTCTAATTAACACCCTCAATTTCAGATGATGATGACGATAACGACGACGGATCCGGTTCGGAGGATGACGCGTAATAATTGTAATGTAGTCAAAGATACAAAATAAAATAAAACAAAAAATATTTAAATAAATAATAAACAAAATTACAAGCAAAACAACAACCAGAGAAAAACAACACAAAAAAATCGCAAAATATATAATTTTATGTTAAGAAATAATTTTTTATTTCTTATATTATTTTAATTGTATTTTATGTGTAATTTTTTTATAAAAAATTCAAAACCAACAAAAATTGTAATTGAAATATATTCGCTCGTAGTGCATATGGGGCGAAAGAAACAAAACAAAAAGTAAACAACCTCCCACTATACACGGAAACAAAATACAAGAAACCGAGCTCTTTCTTTCCTTTATATCATAAGTCTTAAATTAAACAACAAATTTATAATAACCAAGTGAAGAAAAAGCCAGAGAAAAGTGTAAGCAAAACGGAGGAGATACTTGATTTACTTAAAACAAACAGACAGGAAATCAACTAGGCGCGAAAACATCTAATAAAAATCATTATTAAAATTAGACGTTACCATTAATGATTGAAAGTACACACACCCAACAAAAATACAACAAACACAAACCGTAATGAAAAACAAACAACAACAAAAAACAAACACGGAATGTATTTAAATAAAACGATAAAATTATTGAAAACAAAAAACCAAATTCGAAACGTTATAATTTTCTAAGAAAAGAAAAACTATTATTTGAATATGGCTTCAAAATGTTCGTGTCCATCTCTGTGGGCTTGAACAAACAAACATTCATAAATATTTCACCATCATCTGTGACTAGCTGGTCCGCATGCGCAGTACAGAAAGGTCTACAAAGGGCCGTCCCTAAAATTTGATTAATACTACGGGAAGTTCGTTCGATTTCTAAAGCTGAGGTTCAGTTTCTTTTTTTCAGCGCTTTGTTCAAGCATTTAGAACACCTATTAACTAGCATTAAGTATTTGAAAATATAAAGAAATTAAGCAAAAGGAAGTAAAGAAAAGGGCAAACTATTTAATAATTTAACATGTTGCAACATTAATAATTAGGTCTATACTTGCATAATTATATTTACTAAATGAAAACCTCTCCACAATCATCTTTCGAAAGATGTTGCAGGCAAATCAATGAGTAAATGAAGCCCTGTGTGGAAGAACGAAAGAATGTATGGAGTTCATTTGTAAATTGTACAAAACGTAATTATGATGAATAACGAATGATGCTGATAAGTCAACTTTTTAATGTTACATTTAGTAGTATGTGTATGAAGAATTAAGAGGGCTATGGAAAATGTTCTCGTTCTGGCGCTCTACATATTGGCGAGCGAGTTAAAGACTCGTTTTTAGTCAATAGTAATTACAAACATACGGACATACTCGCTACATAGTAACCCGAACCCACACAGACACACACACACACATATACAACTATACATATAGTATATGTATATGCACGTTTTTATTCATTGACTGATTTTTCAAGAACGATGAAGCGACGACGCCTAAGCGTGCGTGCGCCCTGATAATCAATAATATTTTCGAATGTATGTGTATCGCCAAATTTTTAATACCATGCCACACACCTTTATACATACATACTCGTATATACAGACACACGCGCACACACACACACGACTCTATAACCACCAATAAAGCAAACTTGATCCTATACTATACCTTTTGTCAAGCCCAACTCTACACAGTCTAACAAGAATACAAGCAGCGCATTTAATGTTTTTAAGTTTACGCCTTGAAATGTCATTACAAATATATTATTACCTACATATACGGTAAACATATACCAAAATAATATTTAATACCAGGAAGCAATAAAACACAACCGAACAATCTAACTAAAATTTTGTAAATAAGCGACAACATACACACAAACCAAAAACACAAATGAACAATTGGAACAGTAACCAGCAGTAGTGAAAAACAAAGACCCACACAACTTTTGAACGACGAAATAAATTATTGTAATTACATTAAAAAAAATAATTGGCAGCCACGAAATGCCAAGGGCATGTGTTTTCATGTTGGGAGGGAGGGGCTACCTACGAGTTCTTATTCAATTTGAAATCGATTCCGTTAAAACCAAGCTATACAGGATTCAAATTGTAATGGTACATCCGGCGACGTTTTTCAACACTGCATTGAATTGGCTCAGAAGCAGAGCTTTGTCATTTTCACACTCTTGAAGCGGTATTTTCCTATTGGGCGCAGATACTCAAGGTTTGTAGAACATTTATCCAAATTATAGTTTTTCTCTTAAGGCGATACTATTTTTAAAGTGACGACTAGATCATTAATAAGCTAAGAAGGAAAAACATATTAGTGGTACAGTTTTGAAATATTAATTTTTTCCCCAGAAGTTTCGATTCAATATTTTATTCAAGAAAAGACACTATACTCCTGCATCCTATTCTCTTTAGATGAACTTCGAACTTTCTGAATTATCGAAGGATAGGGTGCTTGCAGACCTACGAGTACGCAGCTGTGCGCGGTCGACGACAACCCTCAAAAAAAACCCAGACAGGGTGGTAGAGCATTTAAGAATATGACTTCCTATGGATGCGTAGAGCAGGGGTAGTAGCTACTAATACATACATACGTAACTCATTGATTGGCATTTCTTTTAGGATGTTGCAGGGATGTAAATACCGGTTTTAACTCATGAGCCATATGCAACCAACATACACTAAAAAAAAATGTTGTTAGTCCCAGAGGTACCCGACAAAAAAATTGAATTTTGGCTACTCTACGTACCTTAATATTATTCTGACAAGCGAGATGGCGGTCTGTAAATATGGAAAAAATTTGATTATCGATTGTGATACAATACATTCATTTGAAAGGTCTTGGTCTAACCAATATCAAAGCCGAGGTAGATTCTACGCTGGGAGAGTCTGGTCCTTTGTGTACACCACTAAATATTAGGTGGTGAGCTGTCAAGACGATCCTCTCAGAACTAATAAATAAATGAAATGGTTCGTGAAGACCCCCGACAGAAAGTATGCGATGTTGATTTCACTAAAACAGAGTGTTTTCATAATTCACTAGCATGGGTGAAGCCTGAGGTGAGAAAAAAATTAAAACAATGGACTGAAAAGGTTGGGTATTTCTGGGGCATTGAAATATCTGGATCTAGCTAACTAAAAAGATCAAATGGCCAATGCTAGAACAATAAAGAGTCTGTGGATAAATTATATGCATAAATAAAAAGGTAAGTTAATTTTACTTTTTGAAGTACTTGTAGAAAAAAATATGCACAAAATAATAGGTAAAATTTTTAAAATATCAAGAGAAAAACCGTACACAATGTACTGCACTGTTTTGGAGATTGGAAATGTTGTATTGTCACGAACCATTCGAAGATGATTGAAGAGCGAATGAAGGGCGCGCCACTACCTGGCAGGATCGCCCGCAAAGTTCAATTGATTCTAAATAAAAATTTAATTAGAACAAAAACCGAGTTTTTTAAAAAGATACAAGCTTAGAATAATATTCTAAAAGATATTTGTCGGAAATGTATATCACTATGCCCGAAAGATTTGTTAAATTTAATAACAGACGGAACTCTAACTAGTGATAATCGAATGTTATTTACTTAGTTTCTTAGTCACACATATTAACGGGACTATCCAAAAATTAATAGTTTACTTTTGAAGGATAGGAAATGTTTTTTTTTTTAGGTTTTCCTTGAAAAATTATGAACAAATAAAATAAATAAGCATTTTTGTAAAAAAAATTAACATCTATTCTTTTGTTTAGGAGGTATATACATATGTGTAGTATTATAAACCATTTTTGCATGAATGCAGATGTTTCATATACAGTGACCTCAAATGCTTTAAAGTTTTATTTCTTACACATTTTTTAAAAGTATTACAGTAAAAATTCAAAATATGCCACTACACTTCTGCATTTTTAGTTTTTCCAGGTTTGAATGTTTATTTTGAATTTCATGCGCTATGGTTTTGTTTCTTTCATCCTTCGGCCACAGAGATAGAAACGAAATTTTGTGGTGATTTAGGCAATCACTAATATTTTTGATTTGGATAGTTACAGTATTCAGCTTTTAGCTATTCCCAATTCATTTGTTTATATGTATACTATTGCAAATTCAAGTCACCGATTTATTGTATAACATACTGCCGGTGAACTAAGATCTAGTTATTTTTAATATGTACAAATATTCGCCGGGAATACGACGTTCCATATACTTGACAGCCTTAAAGTTAAGACTAACTAGCTTATCGATAATTTCATCTGGTTTGTTCTCGCGTAGGAGTAATAAATAGAAAACGCCCTGCGGCGATAGAATGTCATTCAATTGCTGTAATAAGATGTCTGTAATGCGACGCCCATCTTTCCCACCGGCCCATGAAGAGACTAGGTTGCGTTGTGTAGACATGTTGATGTGTCGACTCTCCGGGCTGGCCTCAAATAGTTGGTTATGCAATTCCTCATCGCTAGTCACTACATATGGCGGATTAAAGAGTAGCACATCGACACTGCGCGTACGGAGAGCGCTGGCTAAGTTGCAGCGAATGCTTTCTACTTTCGTGGCATTGCGATTAGCCGTGCTTTTCGTGGCGTTGCAGGCATGCTCATTTATGTCTGTGGCTAGGCAGAGGGCACCATGGGAGAATCGTTTGGCTAAGGCTGTAATAATAACGCCACTGCCAGACCCTATCTCAAGGCAGAGACGAGGCTGCAAGTTATCAAGAAATGTTAAATCAGCCTCCAATGCATCTAATAAGAGAAATGTATCCTCTGCAGGTTCATAGACGTGTTCGTACTCATGTGACGTCAGATGGTCTGTGTAAGGGGTCTCCATGCCAAACTATGATATTTCAGTGGTGAGAGCCGAATCCAATAATGCTTGACGACGCCGCTGCTCCTTCTCAATGAGCTTGTGCAGGCCGGCGAGGCGTTCTTGGCTCGAGCTGAGTACGTTTGTTATTATGGTCACTTTATGTTTGACGTTAATCAACTCCTTGACTTTGTCTGCGAACTCAGGAATCTGATTCTGGGCCTTTTCAATCTCTCGTAGCTGCGCCGCAAGTGCATCCAACTGCCCACGCAGCTCCACTTGCAATTGTATTGTGTTGGCCACACGCTCGTCAAGTTTTTCGATGGTAGGCTTAAAGAGATTGGTAACGCCTTCGGCCAAAATGTCACGCGTAGAATTGTTGCAGAAATTGTTTTCATCCAAGGACGTGACGGTGCTATCGGAGTTGTCCATTTTAATGCATGGTCAGAGTAGAGCTGTAAAGCTTTCGATGGCCGCTTCGATGGTCCAAACCTATCGAAATCATCGAGAGTCGGACAGCTCTAATACGGAACTCAGACCAAAACAAGACGCACAGGGTGATTCTGACCACAACATGTAAACGCACATTCACAATAACTGCAAGGAGAAATTGTGAATGGCAAATAATGCAGAAATGTGCACACACTATATTTCCAAATATATTTAGCAAAATTTAATGAAATTCCACCCTAAATGCATTGATTACACAAGCTCGAGCAATGGACACATACTCTGTTGATGTAGTGTATCAAGCGATCAGTGCACTATTCCAAGGAAACAATCCCAAAGAACAGGAAAAGGCCAATAAATGGCTGCAAGACTTTCAAAAATCGGTAAGTACACACATCCATTCACCACAATTCGCAGTCCCATCGGGGTGGTCGTGGCCGGTCCGATGCTTACCCAGATTTAATTCTGCTACATCTATGTAGATCTACTCCTGGACCATTGCTGATGAGCTGCTGCACCAGAAGCGCGATCTTCACGCCAATTACTTTGCAGCGCAAACCATGCGTAACAAAATTCAAAACTCCTTCAGTGAACTGCCGCCACACACTCACGAATCTTTAAGGGATTCGTTAATTACACATATTGGGCAAATTGATGAGCGTACGGATAATGTGATTGTTACACAATTAAGTCTGGCTGTTGCCGATCTAGCGCTTTTAATGGCAACGTGGCAGGAACCCATCAATGATCTTCTCAAGATGCTGGCCCCCCATCCTGCTGCGGTTTGGCCACTACTGGAAGTGTTAAAAGTTCTGCCCGAGGAAATAGACTCACGGTACTTGCGTCTAGGCGCCAACAGAAGGGAGGAGGTTCACAAACAGTTGGATGCCAGCGCCGAGTGTGTGCTTAAATTTCTGTGCATGTGCCTGCAACGCGAAGATTTGGATAAGCAGCGCATTTTGAATGCCACGCTGCGCACCTTCAGCGCATGGTTGGTAATTCATGCCTTTCCCTCAACGCTCATCTATGATAATCCACTCGCACAAGAAGCATTTCGGTTGCTCAGTCAGCCGGATACATCAAGCAAATTGCATGACAATGCCGCCGAATGCGTTTGTGCACTAATCTCGTGCATTGGCTCAAACAATAGCGATTACCGCAACAACGAGTCGCATGTGGAGGCGCAAATCTTTAGTGCGGTGTGCATGTTGGAGCCAGCATATCATATGAGTGTGGCGCACGAGGATACGGATAAAACCATTAACTATTGCCGCATTTTCACATCGCTTTGCGACGCCTTCTTCTATGACATGCTGTCGAATGAGAACGAGCCGCACCACTCGTTGAAGGGTCTGGATCTAGTCTTGCTTTGTGTGGGACATTTTGACTATGAGGTGGCAGAGATTACATTTCATCTGTGGTACAGAATAAGCGAGGACCTGTTTCAACGGTACAATGACAAATTGACAGCACATTTTAGGCCACATATTGAGCGATTGATTAGTGCCCTCTATCGTCATTCACAAATGGAGAGCGATCACGACGGGCTTATCGAGGAGAGCAACGCTTTCTATGTAAGTGCAGTCGTATTCTCCTTTTTCATATATATATTTAACTATATCGATTATTCCATCCAGGACTTTCGGCGCAAGGTTTCTGATTTAATTAAAGATGTTGCATTTATAGTTGGCTCTGGAGCGTGCTTTAAACAAATGTTCCTCATTCTGCAAGCGCCTGAAACGACATGGGAATCAACAGAAGCAGCGCTTTTTATCATGCAAAATGTCGCCAAAAATATATTGCCGTAAGTGTAAATAATATTGCATCGAGAGATGGGAACATCTATACTATACTTGGAAAACTCCAGAGTGAGTTTTATCCAAGCTGGCAATAAAAAAGCAATTCAATTATCTCTCCATGTCATATTTCGATGTCATATTAGAATATAAGCCACAGAACCTAATTAACCATTTTCTTTTATTGCAGCGATGAGAATGAGGTCATACCCAAGGTGGTTGAGGCAATACTAAATATGTCGGAGCAGACGCACATTGCGGTGCGCTACACTTCGATTCTACTGATTGGCGAGCTGTGCGACTGGATCGAGAATCATCCGGAGTCGCTGCAGGCAGTGCTTAATTTCCTTTTGTATGCGTTGCAACAAAAGAATGGTTTGGCACCAGCAGCGGCTATTGCGTTGACCTCCATTTGTGCTGCCTGCCGACAGAAAATGGTTTGTCACATAAGTGGTCTTGTGGAAATCGCGCGCAGCCTGGACAGTTTTCAAATTAACAATGAAGTGGCCATTGGCCTGCTGAAGGGCATCTCCTTAATACTGACACGCTTACCGCGGGAGCAATTACAGCCTGCATTACGGGAAATCGTTGGTTTTCAACTGCAACCACTTGCTCATCTCGTAGACAGTTTCTCGCCCACGACTCCACTGCAAAAGGGGGATCGCACGGATCCGGTTTATTGGATAGATCGCGCCTGCGCCATTATACGCCACACAAACCCCGATGTGTCCGAAAGCGTTGAGCATCCCACAGTTGCAATATTGAACGATGCCTGGCCGCTAGTCTCGCGAGTGATGGATACGTATCAGAGCGATTTGAGAATAATGGAGCGCACTTGTCGGCTGTTACGTTACTCGGTGCGGATGGTGCGGAAACAGGCTATTCTCCTAGTGGAGCCGCTGATCAAGCAAATGGTCGTGCTCTATGCGCTGTACCACCACAGTTGCTTCCTTTATGTGGGCTCGATACTCGTCGATGAGTTTGCCAAGTCCAATGAGTGCATATCGATTCTCTTGGAGATGCTGCAGGCCTTCATTGAGCCCACATTTAGTCTGCTGCAATTGGATAACGGGCTGCGCAATAATCCGGATACCGTAGACGATTTCTTTCGTTTGGCTTCGCGTTATTTAGACTGCTGTCCATTGCAGCTGCTGCGGAGCAATCTAATCACGCCCATCTTTCAATGTGCACTCATTGCTTGCTCTCTAGATCATCGAGAAGCGAACTCTTCCGTAATGAAGTTCTTTAACAATCTGCTTACCTGGGGACGCACCAACAATTCACGACATGCCGAATGTCGACCACTAGTCGTTGAGATAGCCATACAGCATGGCGATGCCTTAGTTGTTAACCTAATACATGCCTCGGTCTTCTCGCTGCACTCATATATGTTGGCCGATGTGGCCGAGGTTCTTAACGAACTGAAACAAGTAATAACCAGTGCGCAGATGGAAAAGTTTCTAGCACATGCACTTGAGGCGCTGCCCAAAAAGAATAGTGGGGGCTATGTGACGGCCACTCAAGAGCAATTAGACGAGTTTAGTAGCACGGTGTTAAGGTAAGAGTGACTTGTGACTCAGCAAAGACATTGCTAATTGAATTGGTTGTAACAACCTTTCCTGCCATCGCATTTAACGTACATTTCTATTTACATATGTATGCTAAACTTCGTTACATTTTTATTTTATGAATATTGTTCAATGCCATTTACATTTCTTTAACTTATTTCGATTCATCTTCTTGCAGAGCGGACACAACTAAGGCCATTTCCCAGGCTTTGAAGACGTTTACGCGACTCTTCCGTTGATCTCCACGAAAGGATATGAGAATCGGAGAAATATTAGCCTCATTACGAATTGTACATTTTATCGTTTTAATGGAATCAATTAAAATTAACAAAAATGAATGTTTGTTAAAGACAAATAACCTATGTACGTATTTTTAGTTAAATACTATGACATGACTTTAATTTGCATTAAATTGTAAGTGAATTTAAGTAATAGAAATAATAGTTTTTAAAATAAAATCTAACAATGACACATCAAACGTTATATTCTTCCAATAATGCTGTTTTAAATTTCAGTATTTAAACAAATTTAATACCACAAAACTTTAACTTCTTTATTTCAACGTCAACCATTTTAAAGTTTAAGGCAAAACTTTGTGATGATGGAGACATACACCTTTCTGATCTATGTATCTATAAAAATTGATTAAACTTAAACTAAGAAACCACTAGCATGCCCGGCTGTCTTCGTTCCGTCAAAAATTATTTTATAATAGCTTCAGGGCGCAATTAATTTCCCGACATCAAATTAATCGCTGAACACTTCAGTTTTTTAACGAAGGAATATACAAACTTAGTACAGTGGTCAAAATTTTGAATCCACAAAGGAATATACAAACATAGTACAGTGGTCAAAATTTTGAATCCACTTTTAAGAAAAGAGAGAGTATAATACCAAATAGATAATTGGAATGTGTGTTTATACTTTTGCAATCCTGTATGTTTAATCTTTGAAATTTCTCTGCCATATTTGATGTCCTCTTAGAATTGGCTTTGTTTTTTCTTTATGGTTGTGACCTGTTTAGAAATAAATTTGCAGAGTTGTGAACACTTTTTTGACAGCTTCCAGAAAAATTAGTAACACAAAGCATCGTACCCGTTTAGACTTGCGGAAATTAATTATTAATTACCAATAAGCAATAATAAATAATTATAAAAGTGAAGGCTTCGTAAAATATAGGCGCAAAAAGTGTAAAAGAAAAACTGTCTTCCACAAGCAAACGTTGAATTTTGCAGCACATTAAAAAGAAAATCCAAACAACCGCCGTTAAAATCGCAACACATATTAGTTTAGATAATAATGTTTATGTCACAGGACAAACCTTAAGAAATTACTCACATAGAGAACATTTTTGTGACCGAATACCACGAAAGAAACCGCACATCAGTGAGAAAAACACTATTATGCGTCTGATTCTTGACAAAGAGTACCTTAATACACATATAAGGCAATTTGCAAAGTAATTTCAAATATTAAACACATAAGATCGCAAAATTATATGGATATTTTAACTATCTATTTGCTCCTGAAAATATAATGCAAAATGCTTCTCGTTGCATGTGGACGATTTAAAATGTTGACCTCTGTATACAAAAATCCCAGATTGGAAGTTTTGAATTTAAAAAAGTCACGCTGAAACAAATATAATAAAGTGCACACTTTTCCATAATTTATTTGCTAGAACTATTCAAAATATAATCACAATGAGGAATAACCCAAATACCAACGAAAGTACACACGTATCTGTATGTATGATGAATTAAATAAATACGTATTGACAGAAGGAGTAGCTAATGTGCTTTTGAGATTCATGATACGTGCAATAAATTATTGGAAAACAATCTCTGGTTAATACTACAAATGTCAATTTTGTCCTTAAACTAATTGCACTTTGGGATCGCACACATTTGAATTGAATGAATTGATGTCGTCTAATTGCACTTTAAGCTTAGCTATGCTAGGTTCGAGTTATTTAATGCAGAATTACATGGTCTCAGTACGTGGATCGATTTTGTGAATGGCCTGCATTAAAGTTGTGGTATTAGTTGTGTTAATGCCCTTCTTGGTCATGTCAGTTAAACGGTCTGTGATGGGCTTTTGATCCTGACCGCGCTGCCACCTGTAAAGGTAAAGGGGTTAGCAAACCGTGACCATATTGTGTGTATGTTGTTAGCGACTCACCACAAATGCGCGCAAGTGTGTAGAAGGGGAATATAGAGAGCCAGCAAATCAATGTCGCAGAGGGTATCGAAACGTGCCAGTGCCAGCAGAGCCCATCGCTCTGCCGAATGATGCGGCACAGGGGAATTGGTGCAGGCAGCCACCAAACGGCAGAGTATTAACAACACGGGACGGGAACGATCCATAAAGATTTTGTTGAGCAGACGAAAGCAATTCTCCAACATTGGAATGGCTAATTCGTTGCGTCTCTCATCCAAAAACTGACACGCCTGACTGAGCTCTTGGTCCTGCAGAAAATGCAGAAAGGCGGGCGAGTCGCGCAACAAGTGGTGACCAGCCACATAGGTGAGAAATGCTTCAAAGGCATCGCTGCGCTCTGCAATCAAGTCCGAGGAGAAATTCCCCATTAACACCTTGCTTGGAAAGTACTTGTTGGTCATGGCATTGGGAAATTGCTGACGCAGCGCCGCATACAGCTCTCTGAAGTCCGTGTAGCGCCGTTCAATAGTTGCTGGCTGGGTGTCGACGCTGCTGCTGTCTTGCCGCACGCTCAGATTGTAGACAACATAGCGCTTCATTTTAGGATCTTCGCCCTCGGGCGGCATTATGCGGGCCAGCAGAATTTCGAAGCGAAGCATTGTTGTGCCCTCGGTTGGTGCTTGATACGTTGTAGGCGGCCGCTCCCAAAACCCTACTAATATTAGAATAGATTGGTCATCAATTAACGCAAAGTAATTAACATATACAGACCCTTTTGCAACGTTTTGTCACCGCCAGTTTGCGGCTGTATGGCTAATACGCCCGCCTCAATGCCAATGGGACTCTCCAGATCATCTGGGTCTTCCACGGATGGTACATGGGGCAGTTGTTGCTTTTGCATTGCAGCATGCACTTAAATGGATTATAAACGCTTAGCCGTGGACTGCGGGTAATCGTGATGGGAACGTACTTTCTTTTTTTTACCAATAATCATGCACGTCAGCTCGTTTGCAGTGCAAAATTATGGAATTCTTATAACAGCTGTGCAGTATGTTTTTTGTTTTGATATGAGTGACTAATCCGTTGGTGAGCGTAAACAACTGCACCCAAGAAAGTGGGCTGCCTTTGTCCCAGGGTATAATGAACACGCACCGCCATTATGCAGGCCTGTATATGGTGTTCTCTTTTTGTGACGTCACTAGTGCGTCGTGTCGTAGTCATTCACGCATTGTCACTATTCTTGCTGCGACTTGTAATTTGCCGCGAAATTAAATCTGAAAAAGCTTGTATTCTCGAATTTATCAGACTTAGAGCAAGTTATAAGCTTTCCCAAGAATCCGCCACTTAGTTGTTAAACATTAAAGCAGTGGTTTTATCTGAAATTCAGTGTGCCACAGCCAAAAATGGCCCTGTTTACAATATTAAATGAACAGAGCAACAGGGAAAATATATTTATCATGGAGAGAAAAACAAGTCGCAGGTTTTTATTAAATAGCGTCGTTCGTACACCGTGCTCATTCACAATAGTTGGCGGAGCTAAGCACAATGAGGCATGCTTTAATGCATAGTACCTTCTTTTTATTTAACGCAAATAAAACTTGAATGAAGTCTTAATTCACTTGCATTAATTATTGTATTTATGTGAAATAATGCATTGACAGGTTTTTCAAATTTGTTTGAAACCCTCACTTTGTTTACATATGCGCGCGTCGTACGCAGCGACATATTGCAGCTAGTTTGTTAGCTCGGCAGCCCTGGCACAAATTGCTTCTTGTTGCTGCTGCGAAAACACCCACGGCTTAAGGAAAAGTGCAAATTGTGTGGAGAAAATGACGCTACCCGAGTTCTTTGGCTGCACCTTTATTGCCTTTGGGCCGCCGTTTGCACTATTCGTATTCACTATCGCCAACGATCCCGTACGGATAATTATACTCATAGCAGCCGCTTTCTTTTGGCTGCTCTCCCTGCTCCTCTCTTCACTTCTTTGGTTTGCAGTTGTGCCGCTGCGTGACGTATTGGTCTTTGGAGTAGTCTTCTCCGTGCTTTTCCAAGAGTGCTTCCGCTATATAATCTACCGTATACTACGTAGTACGGAGCAGGGATTGCACGCAGTGGCTGAGGACAGCCGCATTACTGACAATAAACATATATTGGCCTATGTTTCTGGCTTGGGTTTCGGCTTGGTCTCCGGCATGTTTGCTTTGGTCAATTTGCTTGCCGATATGGTGAGTGCAGCAGCGAGTCCTTGAAACTCTTTTTCTTAATGGCTTTCAATCTATTTTCAGACTGGACCTGGCACCATGGGCTACAATGGCGGCACAGAAATATTCTTTGTTGTCTCGGCTGTGCAGGCTTTGTCAATTGTATTGCTGCATACATTCTGGAGCGTGATATTCTTCAACGCCTGCGACAATAACAAATATGTGCAAATTAGCTACGTAGTGGGCTCTCATATGCTTGTCTCCCTGTTGACGCTCTTAAATGCCCAGGAATTATACAAGACTACTCTTCTGATTAATTATACTATTACCATCGGTACGGGTGTGTTGGCCTTCCGCGCAGCTGGCGGCAGTGCGCGTAGTTTTAAGAGATTTATAACGTGTCAGTAGTTGAGACAGACTGCTCTTAAAGTATTAGTAATCGATATGTTAACATCTGATATTAACTACTCAAATACATTATTTTGTAATTTAGCTTAAACTTTGCTTCAGTAAATAGTTCCATAATTTAATAAACATATGCGGTTTTATTTCTATTGAACGGTTTGTTGTCGCTGTGTAATGTAATTTATATGTATATGTATAATCTAAAAAAAAATTGAAGGACGCCCCATATTCACTGGCTATAGTCCATTTTGCGCACATTGATGCCATAGTCAGCCAATGCTGGCTGCAAATCTTCCATGGTCAAGGTGAACTTGCGATCCTTGGCCTGCAATGCAAAACTTTTAGAATCGATATCATATGATCGCGAAAATGGCTCACCTTCGATCCCCCGGGTGTATTTACGTTTTGCATATGCGTGCGTGCTTTAGAGTGTTGCAGGGCATCATCAATTATGTCCGACATGTACTTTTGAGCAGCAATGGAGATTAATCTCACAAGTCGCTTGTCATCGGCTTGGAATCCGCCCATGTTCAGATAATGGGATGTTACTGTAAATAAATTAAAATACATGACCATGGAAGTCAATTGTCGGCCAAATTGTCTAAAAAACTAACCTGCGTCCGGTAAGAGGGGAGTGTAATCTTCCAGTTGCAGCATAAAATCACTCAGATGGTGCGAAGAGGACGTAACTCGCTCGCCACTGTTGCCAGCACTTGCTGCAGTGGCAGAGGGAGTCGTACCGGTATTCTGGCTAGAACCGCTACCGCTTGGTGCATTATTGTGGTAAATAATTCCAAAGTTTGTGCCCACCATTTTTACAAAGTTGTTTCGATAAATAAGTTAAGATGTAGAGATGTGCACAATAGTAATGTTGACGACGCCGTGTTATCGACCTATCGATAAAGATGTTTTTACAGTCTCATCTAAACGATAAGCGATAGTCGAAATTTAAAATTTTATAATAATGATAATTTTTTAATTAATAATTTAATAAACATATGCGGTTTTATTTCTATTGAACGGTTTGTTGTCGCTGTATAATGTAATTTATATGTATATAATCTTAAAAAAAATTGAAGGACGCCCCATATTCACTGGCTATAGTCCATTTTGCGCACATTGATGCCATAGTCAGCCAATGCTGGCTGCAAATCTTCCATGGTCAAGGTGAACTTGCGATCCTTAGCCTGCAATGCAAAACTTTTAGAATCGATATCATATGATCACGAAAATGGCTCACCTTCGATCCCCCGGGTGTATTTACGTTTTGCATATGCGTGCGTGCTTTGGAGTGTTGCAGGGCATCATCAATTATGTCCGACATGTACTTTTGAGCAGCAATGGAGATTAATCTCACAAGTCGCTTGTCATCGGCTTGGAATCCGCCCATGTTCAGATAATGGGATGTTACTGTAAACAAATTAAAATACATGACCATGGAAGTCAATTGTCGGCCAAATTGTCTAAAAAACTAACCTGCGTCCGGCAAGAGGGGAGTGTAATCTTCCAGTTGCAGCAAAAAATCACTCAGATGGTGCGAAGAGGACGTAACTCGCTCGCCACTGTTGCCAGCACTTGCTGCAGTGGCAGAGGGAGTCGTACCGGTATTCTGGCTAGAACCGCTACCGCTTGGTGCATTATTGTGGTAAATAATTCCAAAGTTCGTGCCCACCATTTTTACAAAGTTGTTTCGAGAAATAAGTTAAGATGTAGAGATGTGCACAATAGTAATGTTGACGACGCCGTGTTATCGACCTATCGATAAAGATGTTTTTACAGTCTCATCTAAACGACAAGCGATAGAGTCTAAATTTTCACTGACAGACAATGGCTACTCAAGATGAGCATATGGATACAAAGCAGGAGGAACTGGAAACTGTGGTGATAGACTCTGACGAGATAAGGGATGAGCCAGAGACAGATTCACACTCGGAGACAGAAACGGATGAGGAGAGTTTTGATCTGGACGTAGTACCAGTCCCAGCAGCTCAAGAAGAGGCTGATTTGGACGAGCTACTGACCCAGCTGGAGGATTACATGCCTACTGTGGCTGACGCCCTCACGCAACGGGTGTTAAATACCGTAAGTATTAATGAAGTGGTATATTTATGTACAGACAAGTAAATTACGATGAAAACTGCTTTCAGGCTGGTTTTGGAACAATAGACCCACGAATTGTGCGTATTATTTCAGTGACTGCACAGAAATTTATTGCTGATATCGCCAATGATGCACTGCAGCATTGCAAAACGCGCACAACAAACATTCAGCACTCCAGTGGTCATGGTTCTAACAAGGACAAGAAGAACCCCAAGGACAGAAAATATACATTGACAATGGATGATTTGTTGCCAGCATTGTTGGATCACGGCATAACCATGCGCAAACCTCAATATTTTGTTTAATGTGCTATTATTGCTTTATTACACACCTCAACTTTTTCAACGACTTTAATGGGCGATTCAGCAAATGTAATATATAAGCTATTTCCAAGTCGAACGATTTAATTGGATGTATTAGGCTTAGTATAGAATTGAATTTCTAAGCAAGAAAATTTGCGTTTAAATAAAAAGAGAATAATAAAACGTACATTATTCAACTTGGTCGTGCCAAAGTTTTTAATAACTCCCTTTTCACGCGAAAAATTCTAATAAAATACAATAATTATTTTTACTGATTTGTATATTTAAGGTATATCTCTTATAACTTCTAAAGTCCTTCCCTGATGATCAAGCTCCAATGTCCAAATTTCCTTCAGAATAATATACTTTTGAAATTTATATCTTTCCCAGCTTTGCTCTTTCTAGCCTTACCGAACTGTCTTTTCCCATTCCAATTTATAGTTGGATATAAGCTTTATATCAAAATCAAGTTTTTTGTGATGTCCACGAGCTGGCAGTTGAAGCTGTATGTACATATGTATGTACATCTTAACTATGTATGTACATATATATTATAAATAAAAACAATAAATCAGCAGCTGCTTTAATTTCGGATTAATTATTTTTGTGACTATAAATTCGAAATGTTGTCTTTGTAGAAATTTTTACAAAAATTTCCATCGCAGCAGTAGCTAAGCCAAACCCGCCGCTCTCAAATAAACATAACATAAACCAAAGGATTTCACAATGTAAACAGTAGCCGGCCTTGCCAACTTGCTTGCGTTCAAATATTTGAAAATCGATTAGTGCCTTCGATTAACGAGGTCTGTTTTAACAGCTGTTTAACTGAAAGTGTCAGAACAAAATGGGAGTGTTTTCGTTTGTCTCAACCATTTTTAATTTTTGTTATTTTCGCGTGTAATTAACAAATTAATACGCGAAATTAGTTTCAAACGTTATTTTAGTAATGCCTGCCCGACGTTGTAATGTTATCAGCAACGTTACATCCATGTAAGCTGGCGCAAATTGCAAACGAAAAATAAGACGACCGCGACCTCCGAAACACAAAGTGGGAAAAATCGAACTTGGTGTGTGCGTATGTGTTCGTGTATGTGTAGAATTTATAAATTAAATTTAAATTTATGTGCAAACAAGCTGCCAATATGTGTAACCAAATAAGCAATGCTATAATATAAGTCGATAATGTGCAATAAAGTCGAAATTCTTTGGCGCAGCAAGAATACAAAACGCAAAAGTTAATTAATAACAATACCCCGAGGAGCGCTAGCGCTAGGCAGCACACACAAAATGGATAAAGAGGAAACAATCGACAACAGTTTGACACTCGGATTTCCGAATCTCACGCACAATGTGTCGCTGGAAGACATGAAAATCGATGCGCCCATGGTTAGTAATTTTTTGATTAACAATTGTCACCTCAATAGAACCCCTTGAAATACATACATATGCGATGAATCAGTCAACAACAACTTTACAGCATAGCTACGGAGCTGATAGGCGGCAAAATTAGCTGCAGTCATTTCATTCCTTTATACACTTATCAATCGAATGCGATTGACTCAAAGTCGGCCCGCATGATAAGCCGCACATTAGGAAATCATCAACGAATGCTATAGTTCTGTTTTGTTTTTAGATTATTTGGCAGTGTATTTTCCGTATGCTTCATACATATATAGTAGAAATATTACTGATATGTTCTTATTTTAAGAAATTTACATATATGTATTTTTTTACACATTGGGTTACATTATTCGCGGTTTAGAGATCCCTATATTTTTTGCAAATACAAAATAGCTTATGTTAGTCGGGGATAGTGTAGCTTCCCAACAGTGAAAGAATCCTTTAAATCGACCCAGTAGATTCGGAGCCTATTCAATTCAATTAAACATTCAAATCTTTCCTTTTTATTATATAGTATTAGTATAGATTTTATGTTATACGTAAAATATATTTGAGAGCTCTGTAGAAAAAACAGTCAAAACTTACTACAGCAAGTCTAGTTTTAGTAGTCATTTGTTGTACTGAACTCGTTCAAAATTGTCGTCCTTTAAAGCGTATTTTTATTTTATTTTAGATCACATTTTTTTTGTTTCACTAAAAACACAAACCTAACGGCCTGTCATAACATCAAAAAAGTTTTCGTAACGCGATACCTTAATTTTATTTTTTATTTGTTTTAAATTTCGTAGTTTTAAATTTTATTAAAAATTGTTTAAGAAATGCAAGTTTTTCGTAGTTTGGCGCGCTTCATCAAAGCGGTCCGTGTAGTGCAGCCCTCTTTGCTGCGTACTGTCACAGAAGCACAGATCGCCATGAAGCGTTCTTATGCCAAAAGCTATCTGAATCCGAAATTCCAAATGGAAGAACAGGAGGAATTGGAAGCAGAGGAAGAAAACTGTGTTGATCCTCTCTATCCCATATTGCAGAATCGAAAGTCAAACCTTTTCTTTATGCCAAATGAAGTAGGCCCAGCATACCGCAATCAGACGACCACAACTCTTCCATTCCGCCTTATCGATCGGTATTCAAGTCACATTGAATACGATCATGTGGACATATCGTCGGCGAAATCCTTGGGCTGCCCGCTCCTTCTATTGGGCTACATGAGGCGCATGTTTGTGCACCCATTTCTGGAGTTTACAAATCCCGATGATTTTAGTGTTATTAATTTGCATTTCGACAGTGATGTCGATAGCGCCATTAAGGCATTCGTCCTAATTGCACGACAATACTCGGTGGATATTTTGAATAAGGGATTTTGGGCAGATTTTGTCAATCCATTCACGGGACGGGCCTATTTCAAATCAGCACCAGGACGTCGTAAGTTGGTGAAGGAAGCACGTTTTCTCAGCAACTTGGCCTTTGAGACTAACAACGGGTGCGTTTTCATTAACGAACCAAAACAGAGTACATTTACTGGTGCCATCTTCACTGATATACCGTACTTCTTGATTGAGCCATACAATTGGAACATATAAGAATTATCCAAAAACACTGGCTTTTTTCAAAGAATAAAGTGAATAATTAATAAAACTATCTCTTCCCATTATATTATGATTCTGAAATATTTACTTATTAAATTATGGTTTTTCAAATTTTTTGTTGCATTTAAAGACATGCACGCGAGAAATTCGTGAGCAAATAAGGGTGTGCAAATTTTGAAAGGGTGAACACTGAGAATAGTGAAATTAAATAATTCCTAACCTTCTTTTTGCAGTGGGTACAGGTCCTTTGAGAGTTGGGCCTGCTCAACGCATGTTATTTTTATACCCTTGCAAAGAGTATGTGTGTATGTTTGACAGATATATGCTATAGCCAATATTATTTCTTGACGATCAACAGCCACTAACCCGTTTATAGATATATATAATTAACCTTATGACTTTATATACCAAAACAAAAGAAATTAAGAGAAGAATTGAATTTCCAAGATAGTACGTATAGAAAAATTAAAAGAATGCATATTTACCAAATACTTGTGTTCTTGTTGTTACAGATATGGCTACTACTTTCACTATTCAGCACCATAATATGGGTCACGTACATCACATTCTACAACTCCAGAGTAATTGGCATGCTCATCACAAAAATAGCCAATCGATGGTTCATAAAGGGTGCCTTTTTTAAAATCGGTTCCGTAGCCTTAAATCCCTTAGCGGGTAAAATCATGTTTCGGGATTTTGTGTACATCTCCTATGATTACTCAATTCGTGTACAGGATGGATATTTCATATTTCGCTGGTGGCGATCCTACGTGCCTAAGGATGTTTCAGAGGGTAAGTGTGGCCTTTTCGCTCCTTTATATATTGACTCTGACCTGCAAACTACTTACAGATCTTTCACACTCCGATACTCGGCTGTCTGTGCAGTTAAATGGCTATGAGCTGCACATTTACAATCGCTCCGATCTCTATGATCAGCTAGAGAAAACGTTTGGCCTCGAACCATCGATGCTTATTCCTACGGACTTACTAAGCAACGAGGAGCGCAATAAGCTCAAGGAGCACACCATGAATATGGAGAATGCACGCCAGAGTCAACGAGTTAATAGCGTTAAACATTCCGAGGCAATGAAGGCTACCACTTGGCGTGATTTAATACCAGTCATTAAAATGGACATCTGTTCGGGTCGCTTTGTTTTTGGAAATCGCTTGACCCCCACAACGCTCTCTATTTCGGTGGAAGAGGCACATTGCACGTATAGTACAAAGCCGGCTGTATGTCGTTTGGATCATTTCATGCACTTCGTCAAGGCAAAGGTGGAGAATGCTAAAGTTCTTTTCGCCCCAAGCCCCAAATACACTGGCTTGGTCGATGAGCCGCCCCGTTACATGGGTGAAGGGTTTGTGGTAATGATGTCTAATCAGATGGACTTATATTTCTACATGGATGAGCCGGGCGTGGTGCCAGAACAGCCAGTCCACATTGTGCTTGCGAATGGCGATGTTGTTGAACCTCCAGCTCCTGTTTGGGGCATAAATATCAAATGTCTAAAGGGCACAGACTTCAGTTACGGCCCGTGGGCGGATCGTCAGCGTGATCATTTGTACAAATTCTTTTATCCATCCGATTGGAAAGAGATGCAAGTTACTCCTACACAACAGCCGGGTGAATTGCGTAGCTATCAGACCTTTGATGTGACACTCTGCGTGCTCAATGAGGCCACTATTGATATATTATTCTCCAAAGATAAGGAGACTAACGCCATGCATATAACTGTGGGACCAGCCTCATATGTGGAGGTTACCGTACCTTGGGTAACATTGGTCGATGGCTACACGTCGAAAATTCAGGGTCAATTGTTTCATGTGGAGGCCACCACATCATTGCAGTATCGCAGTCTGGCGGAGTTCGAATCGCTGGAGTACAAGGTGCGCATCCATTACCCAACAAAATGGAATGCGCCGCAGGATTGGAACATATCGTTGGCTGGCTGTAAGACCACCGCCTATATAGTGTACAAACACAAGTGTTTTTTTCAGGACCTTATCGAGGATTGGGCGGATAAGGCACGTCCGGATATACTCACATTTGTTCCGTACACTTGCAATTTCAACATACGTCTCAACGAGTTTGAGATTCTTATGCTATGTAATGAGTATAATTGGATTGATTGTTCCAGCGCAAATCAGGAGAACAATCATTTGGCTTTTTGTGGTGATGTCTTCGACATGAGCTTTGCCCTGCCCTTCGATGATTTCTTGCCAAAGACTGTAACTTTAAAATTCTGGATACACGGCGAGGGTCTAGATTTGAGTATGTACGTGCCAGAGGTGTCGTCTGTGAGACCAATAGTGTTAGCTATAGATGAGAATGCAAGACTGTTGACGCGTGAAGGCAAGCTGATCCGCAGGCCCGATCTATACACGAAAAAATGGCGAAAGATTTGCCAACGCAGTGCGGGTTGGATCGACTGTTGGGCAGTACCTATCTTAGCGTTATCTATACAATATGTTTACCATCCGGTGCCGCCGTTAGGGCCGGATCCTCAAGCTGATATTACAACCCCGGAAAAGGAGGAAATTTTACTGAGCCCCATGCGTATTCCCAAGGTGCGTAAATCTCCGGTGACTACTTGGCAACAACCATTAGAGCAACACAATAAATTCGATCCGGGTACTCTTACCGCGGATCATGTAACCGTCGAGCTAGAAATCGGCTCTTCAGTGCTGATGGCGTATGGAAATGTGTTGCGTAACTTTATCAGTCTAAAAGAGAACATATTCGGCGAGGATCAAAGCTTTACCGATATGGAACAATCAAATGTCAATCTTAAGGACGCAGGCGCAACACCAAATCCCAAGGATCAGCTCCTGGCTAAAGAAAAAGAATTGGCCAATAAGTCTATATCGGAGACAGCACCACCGGAAGAGAAACGCAAGCCATTCGATCCGCGTATGTATAGACCCCTAGAGGTTATGGTCTCAGTTATTGTGCATGACATACAAGCGCATGTGATGAAGAACTGCAACGAAGACGATCCACCCTGTCCGGTGGTACTTATTGAACGCTTTGGCTTTGAAATGGACAAACGTTATCAGGAGACAACTTTGCAGGTCCTCGTCAGTCCATCGTATCTGCTTGCCTCAGACATGCTTGTGCGGCAGCAACGCGAAAAGCACATAAATCAGGGACATCTTCTGCTTTCGGCGGTTCAAGTGCGTGGTCATGCTATGTTCAGCAATGAAGGTCGCGCCCTTGATGAGGATACGCTGGAATACTCATGGTTAGTGGAGGTCCAATTGGGAAAACTGACAGGAAAGTTAACACTGCCACAGCTTGTCAATGTAGTTACCGGCCTAGAAACGCTCATATTGCTTGCAATTGATCCGGAGAACTGTCTAAAATCGCCAAAGACGGTGTGTAATTGCCATCATGGCGTGCCGAGCAATTTGTGTCCACAGACCAAGGAGGAGAACAAATATAAATGTCCGTCTTCAGAGGATATTAAGTACAAGATGACACGTGTGTCCATAGATGCTGTGGATGTATATTTAATAGAAAGTGGAACTGCGCTTCATGCTTGGATTTCGCCCATACGGCTGGCTAATTGTAATTTGCATGGCCAGCGTGTCAAGTCTGGAATCTCCGGCCTGTTACCCTCCATATTGTTGCGCCTCTTTATGCTTCATGCTCCTGGTCCAAGCAATGCCACTAATTCTTACAACACGAACACCACGGGCAGCAATCGTTCAGGAAAATTGAGGCGCGCTGATCAAGACTCACTGAAATCACAAGATGCCTCACACACCTATGCGCACCCTGTGGGTAAATCCAAACGAAGCTCAAATTCCTTTTCCCAACGCCGGGACTCTCGTGACGATTCCACTCGCAAGTTGCGTGATAGCTTCTCAGAACATCCCAAACGAACGCCTGAAAATGAGCTCTTCGAGAACTGGATTGAAGTGGGCTGTACGTCGTTGGGACCTATACTGTTGGAAGGTGCTTCCGCTTTGCCGATACCTGATCACGAACTGCATTTGGTACAACACAAGTAAGTAAAAAAATGCAATTATTATTATCTTTGATTCTCCGGAAGAACCTGTCTTTATAAAGCGAAATAGAAAAATAAATTGTTGATACTGATAATCAAGGTCTGTCCAATTTGAAAATTATTAGTTAGTTATTTATTAAAAAAGGAAATACATAGTTTTAGTTAACTCCTGTTACTTTCTTAGTAAGAGTTATTAATTTGTTTCTTTTCCTCAACCAGCTTCCTCCGTGAGCATGATGCCAAATATAAACGTCTGTGGTTTCTCTGGTCAAACAATGGAAGCGCATTATCTTCTGGCAGTGAGATTTCGCGATGTGGCTGCATAGGCGGTTGTGCCTTTTTTGGCAGTAATCGTAACGGCTTGAAATTCTTCAAACCAACAGCACAGGATGTACATGACAACTACAACATTGCACGCTACTTGTAAGTATATCAATAAATTTATGTATTATTCTAAATGGATTTATATTTATTGTGTTTGATCTCCTTTGTAGCATCATTAATAACAACAAGGACTTTGGCTTTGGGGAGAGTATACTGCACCAGGGTCAACTAGTCTTCCATACCCCGCCATATAGTTTGCATTCGGTCTCTTTGTACGACACAGCCGATTTTAATGGCAAGGGAAAAATTTATAGGCCCACAACTGAGCTGCGGAATGGAAGTCTGAAAAAGAATGATCCAAACTCGCTGTTAGATGGAACCAAATTTAAAATAGGAGGTGGCTCTATGGACAAGTGTGAGTTAAGCAATCGAAATAAGAATAAATCACGCGAGAGCATTGGATCGCCCAATACGCTGGAGAGACGGAGCAAGCGGTATACATGTATACGTCAAACCTCGGTCGAGGTACCTTATGCGCGCCTGCTGGACAGTCCTTCAAAGAAGATATTTCAACATGATTCTATTGAGTGCACCAGCGGTACTCACCGACGTGGCTCAGATTCTCATAAGAGTCAAGGTAATACGTTGCGTGTGTCTCCACCTAAAACAAGCATCTCGGATTCGCGACTGACTGGTGAGGCGGATATGGATGTGGAGCATGAAGTAAGTCGAAAAGACATTTGCATTAGTGGGTTGATATTTATTTACTGTCTTACAGATGCCTGATGAAATGTCGCACTCTGCGCCCCACTCGCATCCATTGGAATTCGAGATTGCTGACATTAACCTTCACTCGCACACATTTCCACTTGATTATGTGGAGGCTGGTGGTGATAATTTGCCACGCGAAGTACAACGTACGATATCGCTAACCTCTGAAAATCCATCGGAAATGTTTTTCTCTGCCGAGGAAGACATATCGAATGTCATGTCGCAGCGGGGCTCGATAAAACAACGAAATGGATCCATCGTGCTGTCTGGCAAGAAGCGTTTTTCCTCGGATCTAAGGTATTTATAAATAAGCGATGTGAGAATAGACAATAAGTTGTAAACATTTTCCTGTCTTTTGCAGTATTGGTGGCCAAAATGATAATGGTAGTCACACATTGCCGACTTACCGCAGCGATTTGGAAATACATGCACCGGAGGGTAATAAAACATTGCCAAAGCGTCCACAAAGCACTACAGAATTGGTAAAAGTTATATTTATTTTATATGGCACACTCTTTCAAACACACTGCCAATCATTGGTTTAATGTCAACGTTTTTTTATGTACACCAAATGCCTTTAGCTTTATTGCTTTAAGGCTAGGCTTATGTTATTTGAAGTTCACTCTCACCCATTCAGCCTTCAGTTTGGGTACTGCTCACAAAAATGTCAAAGCGGCAAATAGTTAGCTCTAATTGCGAGTTTTACAATCGTGCTAAGAGCTTACAGTGAGCTACGTTTAATGCATGTTTCACTCTCTATTTCGGTATATTCTAATATAAGTCTACTACATAATTTTTAACTCTATATTTTAAACGTACGTATTATAACTGTAACTGTAATTTATATATACTCTATATAAAATCCACACATAAATTCTATATTCCTCTCCCTACCAATATCATCTTCAATACCAATCTATTCAACCAAAACAATCAAAACTAAACTAATCAAACAACAAAATCGAATATCAACATTTAAAATCAATCAAAATCGAATTAAAACTCATCCAGAACGAAGACGCGAGACGTATACATGGTCTTGCGACACCAATAAGAAAATTAACAAATATCTCATCACGACCTGAGTATCGACACTTTATTCATGATGTGAGTAGTTCTTAGTACCAAAACAAATTTCTATCTAACTCTTACCTATCTAAGATGTAGCAAATAAAGTATTATCGAGTAAATTCGATCTATTTCACATAGAAATCACATAATGATTTTGGTAGTACCCTCCGTTTTTATATATATGTATATACAGTTTTATAACTACTAGTAAATTCATTATTATTTGACTGTTTCATAGTAATTTCAATTGTATGATATATATTTTTTCAATAAGGACCTAGTCTTAAACAATAAATTGGGAGCTGTATTTGATTAAATGTTCACTCATAAGTTTAAATAGGCATGGAGTCCCAAACACACTAATCATTTAAAAACATTCTTATAAAAAGTGACGAATTTCAATTCAATACGCATGTCAATAAAGCTGTGTAGTTTCCTACTAGTATATCATATGTTTCCTTGAAGTCTATCCTACTAATTGCATAATCTAAATTATTTCGTATTCCATTTTTTAATTTTGAAAATTAGACTCTTTTTCATTATGCATGCTTGCTTGCCATTGGAGCCTTGGAAGCTTGGAACACTTTAGTGCTAGGAAATTTGCAACGTTTTTCAGTGATCGCACTTGCAATCCGTTTTTTAGCCACGTTCTTACAGATACTTCAGTTTTTGTTGGCTATTTGCAATCTTCTGCAGCCTGGTCTGACATTTAGTTTGTAGCTGAACCCGCACACGGCAACCCCACACTCAAAATTTAACTTTTAATCATTTAATTATATTTTTCATTTAACAGGCCGACTCACGTGGCTCATCTTCAGGCACGCCCTCACTATCCTCAAACTCCTTCATTTCCGCCATGTCATCACAAGAAGACGTTGCGCTGGTCAACTTACATCAGCAAGTTAATCGACCCATCATCGATTCCCCGCTGCTTATGGCGAGCTACGTAAATCATCTGTCGCAAGTCAAGTGTTTTAATTGGAACGCCTGCTCGTTCCCTCTTGGTCCTGATGTCTTCTCAACACCGCTCTTTAATGAGAACGAAGATGGCGGCCTTACGTACATTGGCAGCAAGATGTTACCTCACTTTGATTTGTACGCGTGCTGGAGAGAGATTAAAGTTGTACCTCGCTACGAAAATACCACTGGGAGTAATAGCTCAGCCACTTTTATGGGCGGACCCAAGTCGCATCCGTGGGATCCTAGTGTGCTGCTTAAGGAGGAGGAAGCAGATAAAACGACAAATGGTTTTGATGACGGGGAGTTTATGAGTCTACAGGCGGAGGGTGGTGCTGCATGTACATCTGTAGTGGCACGTCTGAAGGGGCAGGTTAATGTGTTCCTCACACCACTACTGCTAGAGGGATTGCAGCGGTGAGTATAATGTAGCTTCTAAACAAATATGTTAGCTTCTGCAGATCAAAGCACGATCAAAAATGCCAGAATATTTCCTCCATTAATCACAAGAATTCACTTGCCTACATCTTTAAGAATAACTAGAGGCGAAGATTTTGTGATGTCAACTTCTATGGGATATCGGCTACATAAGGTTGGCTTGTAGTTTTGCCTTAGCCATGTTTCTTTTTCGATTGCACACGAAGTTTTCTGTGTTATAATTTTAATGCACTGAAAGTTTCTAAAAAGCCTTTTTTATTGCCATTCTTTGAATAGGTACAGTGAAAATATTACATTATTTATCCTCAATAAAAAATATATACATACGCTTGAGTATAATTTAAACAAATAATTTCAATAAAAACTAACAAAAAGCTAAGAGCGCTTAACGCGTACATGCGCGCTCTCCGCCATTCGTGCGATATTTGCATTGCTCTGGCTGCCAGTGTCTCGCGGAAATGAGTCCATTAGTTTCTTCAGATAGGTTTCCTTGGAGTTCTGAGAATGAGAGGGATTTTAGCTTATTTTGCTTTTCGTACGTATCTTTGTCCACCCACCTCAGGCGCATCATCCGTTTTCTTATTCTCACGCTTTCTGCGTCTCCACTCCTCTGCGTATTGTTTCTCTTTCACGAACTGTAGTTGCTCGAAATTGTTGAAATTGAGCATTTCGCTATTGTTCTCATCGCTGCGTAATCGTCGCTGTCCAGGCTCATTGTCGCTTTTTATGAAACCATTTGGGGTTTGTATAAAATATCGAGGCGGATCGCGTGCGCTGTTGGCAATGAAACTGAAAAATTGTAACGAATGCGGTGTATGTTGTATGAGAGCTATGCTTGGGGAAGTAATTATTGTTTGTAGGCGAACCTTTCACCATCATTTAAAATGTTTGCCTTCTGCTCAAGTTCCCGTGATTTCGTTCCATCCATAATACTTTGACTGAGCTTTGGCGTTTCTGCTGCTATAGTTCCAGCTTCTAGGCCTTCCTCTCTACCAGTCAGACTCTCATCTAACTGGATGTTATCATTTTCGCTGACCGCAGAGTCCTCCAGATTACGATTATCTTCCACTTTAGCTGTTTGCTCTTCGTTGAAACGTTGCCCTTGTTCGTGAGCTAAGCGTGAGAGCTGATGGCGCTCATAGGCTGCTGGTTGATTATTCATACCAACTGAAGTATCGTCAACTTTTCCAGAACGTATGTTCTGTTCAGCATTGAAAGGACCTGCTTTTTGGTTATTTCCTGAGGACGCAGCAGGCTGACCCTCAACTTTCATCGGTGGTATAGCTATGAAATCGGGTCCAACATTCGTTAATTCGTTAACTTGTTCTTCTTGTAGCTGTTCTCTATTTTCTGTCAGCGGCGTATCATCAGACATTTTCCTAACACCCAAAATATCAAAGCCATTGCCCAATTTACGATTATACTTAAAATCTCCTATTTCTGCTCCACGTGTTTCGAAGCTGGGTAGTTTGTTGTAGTCCGTATTAAGTATTTCTAGTTCCAGTTCCTTTTTGGGCTTCCACCCTGCCAGCTCTTTCTTTAGTTTCATTGGCGGCATAGCACCTTCAGCTATATCACCAAGTTCATCTGATTCGTCTAACTTGGTATGCCCTAAAGAATAGTCTGACATATCATCAACAGCTTTGTCGTTGATCAGATCGTAATCCTTCAACGTTCTTTCTGGGTTCTGCTGCTTGAGATTCTTGAAATTTCTTTGCAGACATAACTCATCTTCTGGATCACATTCTTCTTCACATATGGGCTTTTTCTTGGGCTTCTTTTTTGGCTTACATGTTGTCTTGTCAGGACACTTAGGCAACCTGTCATAATCATCATCCATGACAGCACCTCCACCTTTAGATTTGCACAAATCTAGATTGCTCTTCAACGGGCAACGCTCTGTGGTCCCTGTACACTTCGGTTTCTTGGTACACTTGGGTCGCTCTGCCAGCTTGTTTTTACAGTGCTCCGGACGTTCTTTGGTTGGATCGCTATCATCATTGCAGCTGTCGTCGAAGGCAGATTTGTGTAATTTGGACCCCCGTTCGCGATCTAATTTTTCGGCCGGATCATAGGTGTCATCGGAGCCCAATTCTATGTTGCCCAGCTCTTCCTCTGGCTGCTTTATTCTCTTAACATGCCTTTGTCGCATTCTTACACCTGCTTTCTTTTTGAAATGAGTAAGCTATTTATGTGTGTAAGCTATTATGTCGCCAAATTGTTCTCTACATACCATCAAAATTATCGTTATCCTCCATTTTGTTGTCTAAGTACTTATCCAAATTGTTAAGATCATCCAGAGACAAGCCATTTAATGCGGCTTCCAGTTCTGCATCGCTTAGGCCATTCGTCAGATCGGGATACTCGGCAGCATCAGCAAACTTTTTTGCCTTGTACGGTTGCTTGGATATGTGATAGAAATGGTTTAAAGATAGAAATCCTTAATATACTTCAGGCCGCTTACCATGGGATATGCTTTAAGAATATGCATCAAGCACATGTATTGCATCAATTGGAGTAGATTGAGGCGTAGAAAAAACATTCTCAGCTGTGTTATTAAATATATGTTTTCATTATACAACTGACGTTGTTTTGCTATGAATGTTTACTATGTTTTCTCATTGTCTCTTCTACAGCATGGTCGAGGCCGCCATACCTACCATACATTCCATGCATTTGCTTTCAGTTGTCAACTTTATACACAGCTCTTGCATTGGCAAAGTCAAAAATGATAATATACTGAAGAGGGATCAAAGTTTGAGTTACTGGTCACAAGTGCATTCAAATTCAAAGCGTTCGACAACGGAGCGTCATTTACAGGGACCAGGAGATTCGTTTCTAAGTGATGTATACGAAGAGAGCATATCGACCAAGACGCAGGGCTTGATAGTTCTTCCCAAAGTAAGCATAACCATGCTACAGTCTTCCATTGTCGAGGAGGTGATATCCGTAGCAGCCTTGGACAACGTGCAGGTGTGTTGAATTAAACAAATCATTAAATCATAATAATATATTATACCAATTCAAATAGGATCTAAGCTGCGTATCGCTGCTTACTTTCTACATGGAAGGCATTTCAACGAAATTCCATTTGGGTAAAACTACGCGAGCTTCCATGCACAATGTCTATATACAGCAGACTGTACAATCTGGCAACAGTCATAAGAAAGGTGGCATAATGAAGGGTACACGGGCACTGCTCGCACATCTCTCCTCCCAGACGCGTCCCGACAATGTACAAGGCGAGCCCATACTCATCGAAACGTCTGAGAAGCAATTGGAGGAGCTTGTCATAACGCTAGACATTGGACGTGCGCATGCGCAACTGCGCCGTCTGAAGACTGAGGGTCAATCATGTCCCCAGGACTCGCCCATTATTGTAACAGCCATACCTGAGCACAAGAGCAAAGTGCTTTTCGAATGCCTTAAAATGCCAGAGAGCACGGGCATTGAGAGCATTGGTTACATTATGTTCGAGAGCGGTCTGGAAGGTGTGGGAGTGAAAATAGTCAAACGATCGCATTTTGAGAAATCTGAGAATAGCAAAGAGGAGCTGGCCGAAATGAGTGTAGAGGGAACAACAGGCAGCAGTGTAGTTACCACACGTGCCATCAACATCAACGAGTTGGTGGGTCAAGGTGGTGCTTCTGGTGAAACTCTGGTTGGCAATGCAACCACAACAACAGGCATAGATGCAGGTGCTACGTCTAAAGCGGAGGCGGCTTGGCGTTTGATAACCAAAAAACCACCCACGCCGAAAACGCCCAAAGAGAAATTCCAAAATGCATTAGAGAACATTATAGTGAGCGAAGGCTCAGCTAGTGCCAATGAAAATCGACGATCGACGCCCAAACCGCCAGATGAGGATGTGGAAAAAGGAACGAACCCGACTAATGCGAGCACATCAAAGAATGGAGCTGCTCATAGCAACACCACCACCAACAACAACAAGGACTCCTACGACAAAGTGCTGTCCAATGTGAAAGAGACTGATAAGACCTCCTCGTGTGTCATCGAATTGAAGTCGGTGTGGTTCAATTTTGCGGCACCACCTTGTGTGCCTATCACTCGTAAAATTGATTTAACGCGGCTCGATTGGAATTTGCTAAGCACTGCTTCGCCTGCGATAACGGCGTGGATGAATCCTAGCAATCGTTTGGCCATTAAAATTGTGGCCTTATTGAAGGCTCTTCATACTCGTCAAACGGCCGTGGCTGCCTGCCTTATGGCCGATGCCATGGAGAATGAGAAGATTCAGAGGAATCCAAAAATCAAAAAGGTGCGGTGGTTTATGCTTATTTAGTGAATATGCTTTAGATTCATCAAAATATAAACCTCCCACAGAGTCGCTACGCCAACAATTATACGCTGCTGTCGAAGACGCTGCAAGAGGATCCCAGCTGCCAGTTGTGCTACATCATGCAAAAGCTTGTGCTCGACGAGGGCGTACAACGAATTGAGCAAATCTTCAAGCAAGGCGAAGTGCCGCATCTAAATACATTGCGACAAGTGAGTTGGAAGCAACATTGCAATTATACTCCAATATTAATAATTTGCGTTTTGTAGGGCATCATTGTGCTAAGTCGCCAGTGGAAGAACACTCTGTACAATCCTATCCTCTTCGAGCATCAGTACAAGAATAAGTTATCACGTCCCATTAATGTGACATTCTCGTTTCCGCAAAACGAGGAGGAGTGTGAGGCGGATGAGTGCGAAGGTGATGTTGAAATGGGTGCCTATGCTGGCGTCGGAGAGAATCCGGAAGAGAGTGAGAATGCTTTATTACTTGGGCAAACACAGCATCATCGAACTCACATTGGTATTTTTTTGATTAACGCTGAACCACACTGCACGTCTACCGATGGGATTATTCTTTAATTGCACTGTGGCGTGCAGTGAACTCCACTTGTTATAACCTGATATTGATATTTTTACAGTTGTAGGCTCTTTTTTTTTTTGTTTATTTGCACGTGTTTTTTGTGTATGCACTTGAAGTTTAAGTTTTACAAAAATTGCCTTTTAAATGCTAATTATCAACTAAATTAAATTGCTTTCTAATGAAAAGAACAAATTTTTCACATTTATATATGTATGTGTAATTGAAAGGCAAATTTGTTTATATGTTTTCAGCTTTTGATTTTTTTGTTTTTGTTGTTCTATTGAATGTCCTCTTCCCCATTTTCATATAGTTCTTTTTATTTCCTTTTCCCAACTCGTAAAATGCTTTGAGTGTTCATGATTTCATATAGTTTGATGCTTTACGTGTGCATTATACTTTGTGTTTCTCTTTTATCTTTTCTGGCTATATACTATCTATCCAAAAACAAAAGCTGAATATGTGTTTTAAGTGTGTATTTCACGGTGTGCAAAATATTTATTCAGATCAGGTTTGTTTTGTTCTCTTGTTTTGTTTCTATTCTGCTTAATATACTCGTGTTTATACAATTATGCAGTATAAATATTTTGCACATTGAAGTTTTCTTAACACAAGTTTGTGGTATTTAACTTCACTGCATTGAGCACGAAGACGCAAACTTGATTAGGACAGAGGTACAATTTATTTTCGGAGATAAACTTACATTATTTTGATTCCTATTCGCAGCTAACACACAGTATGGATATTCTAATGAAGGTGATCTGCATGGAGCCCCGTCACAGCGTTCGATGTCAACATCACCCAACATACACAACATGCGTCGTGGGTGAGTTATAGTTGACGAAAGTACACATAAAATGCTTACAAATATACACGTTACATACACATATACCCACATTAATACATATTTTGCATGTGCGATGTGCCATTGATATTAATTCCATGCCTGTGCTCTTGTTTTCTTTTCATACCCGCCCGTTCAAATTATTATCAACGTTTTGTATGTGCAATGTTTGTTATTCGCGCGCTTCCTTAAATACAAAAAATCAAAAAAATGTTATGCTTCATGAAAAAATCAGTTTAAACAAAGTGCACAGCAAAGCCTCGAATTATTCACATGGCAATTCATCTCGTTCTAGCATACAAATGCTGCCCATAATATCGGGCTTGGTTGAGAAGCAAGTGCCGGAATTTGGTCTGTATCCAAAAAAAATGAAATGTTCAATTCTAATATGGACTCACCTACTGACTAACTATTTTGTTACTGCTTTACACAGAATATGGTGCCCTGCAGGAAGGATCTATAAGCTCCACAAATTCGGTAAATAAATTCTGGATAGGTGCTGAGAATCATAAAGAGGATCTTTACTTTTGGATGGCCAAGCAGCAGGACAGCAAGAAGAAAGAACATTTCTCTGAAAAGGAGCACGTCAGACCTGCACCAACGAAGATGCATGGTCAGTCCCATACACGGAGTGGCATTATGCAGGAATCCATTAAATTACTGGATGCCCATTTGATATTTGAGCCGTTGCTTACATGTCTGGGTGTGATGCCGCAGCAGATGATAAATAAGTTTGCAAATGCGGATATTTCTTCGCTGGAAAATTTCGGTACAAATTTATCACTGATTGGCACATTTGATTCCATCCGTGTGGACATTGTCGTCAGTGAGGCGGGCGATAAAAAGAATCCTAAGCCCACAAAGCTAAGTAAAAAGGCTAATGGTGGCCGTGCTTCAATTATGATGGATACCCCACTATTCTTGTGCGAGCGCGTCGGCATTGAACTGGAAGTTCTGAAAATGTCCGATGGTACGGTGGATAAGGCGCAGCAAAAGGTCATTTACATGTCGCGCCGGCAGTTAAAGAAACATACGAGTACTGTGATCAATTTTAGTTTAAATATACGCTTCATATCTCAGCAGGTGAGTAACTCAGCTCTTACATCATCAATTTTCTGAGTAAAATCTTTTCCGCCTAGGTCAACATGCCGCTACTGAGGTTACTGCATCAAATATCGAACATGTATCAAAATGTGAAGGATGCACAGAACGAGTTCCATGAACAACCTGAACTGAGTAAGAAGAGTCAGACCAAAGATGAATGCAGCTTGGGTATGTTTGCATTTATTATCACCAGCTAATAGAGTTTCCCACAAATAGTCTTAAATATGTCTGTTTTATAAAAAATCAATTTTTAACTTAAGGGATTGATCTCTTAATTGCAAACGCGTCTGTATATCTTTACCCTAATTATTAAAAACTTAACGGTTATAATACCAGAAATAATATATCCTATACCCTGTACACGAAAAGGGTTTACTAGAATGTCAAACGAAGGGCAGACCCCAAATTAAAGTAGGTGTGATGCTTAATCAAAATTGGTTCAATATTATATAGCTGCCATAGCAACATTCAGCTCAGAAGTTCATCTCAGTACATATAATTTTATGGTTTATTAAGATATCGTAACCAAAATTGGTATTTTGAAAGTTTTTTAGAGCCTCTTTATAATCTTAAGTCTCATTTCGGTAACTAAATCACATGGAGTAGCTGTGATAGGAATAATTGGTACATCGGGTGGTAATAAAGCTAATCAATTGATATTGTTAAATGAATAATATAAAGCAATTCAAGATTACCTTTCCTTTTAGTTAATAATGAGCTTTGTTTTCCATTTTTTTTAGCGTCCGAACCCACGGACCTGCTACCCTTCAGCTCTGTCGCTGATCGTTTTGGCCATGGCGAAAGTTACTCGGATGAGCGATATGACAAATTCAACGAAACAATGCCCACTATGCCAACAAATCGAATGCGTCCGAGCGGCTTGGCGCCCATTATACAATTGACGCCATCGCCAAATGCCAAAAACCGACCGCAAAGCTTTGCACAGAAGTTGCGCTCCACTGGAAAATCGGTCAAGGGTAAATTAGGTTACACAAATCTGAATGAGTCGAGTTCATCGCCGCTGCGTGATAGTCCTACTATGTCGGTAAATGAGCACATGCTTAAAATGACCACTGAATCGAAAATCTCACTCAATGGCGCTTGCGCAACCAGCGTAAGTGGGGATTACAATACGCTTAGCAAGACAGGAAATGGTGTCTTCAACACTGTCCATTTACCGCCACTTTTGGAGACTCCTAACTGCTGGAAAACTATTTATCACTTGCTGGAGCTCTATGGCACCATGCCGGAGACAAAGACGGTGCAACGCAGCTCTCTGAATGAGCACAAGAAGTCGCAGTTTGGATATGCGCGTACCACGGAGACTCATAACGATGATGATGACTTGGCTAGCGCGCCCACGCCGGTGCCGCAACATAAAGATATGCTTGTCGATGGGGTCTCCCATGAACGCACTCGTCTCATTGTCTTTGGTGTTGCCAAAATTCACAAAACGCGTTTGTTAGCCACATTATCTGGCTTAAAATTGGAATCGGAGATTACAACGTTAAACAGCACAGCCACATGGCGTAAGAAAGCGCGTCCGGTATCTCTGGAATGTTCTCTGACAGGTCAAGTGGGACGGGCTATGATTGTGCTCCTCGAGGGTGTGGCACCCAGCCAACAGTAAGTGTGTCTTAGAATATAAATTATACTTCGAGCGATTATGATTTAAAAAAACCCATGCTTCTTCATAGGCTTTTATTAAGTTTGCTTTTCAACTGACTACAATTTAAGTTTCATTTTCGCTCCTTCTCTTTACAGAACCGTGGTCAAGGTGACTGTCGGTAAAAGTCAAACGTTGTATTCAAGTCTCTCAAAACGCGGCAAGGATAAAAACAGCGGACTACTTTCCATTGGACCTGTGAATATAGACATACCTCAACATCCAGTGGCTTTGCATGGCATGATGACACGCAGCTCCAAGCAGTTATCGTCCACTTTGCAGGAGTTGCGCGTAAAACGCAACTCTGGTCGCTCCACTCTACGTTCTCATACTGCCGAAGAGCCCGAATCACCATTTCATGCACGTAATTCGGGTGGCGCCAGCGCTTCTGGTGGTGTCGGCGGCACTACTGCCGGCAATGCTAGCGAAATGCGAGAGCGAACCGTTTCCGGGGGTACACATCAGCATGCAACGCGAAAACATCAGACGCATATGCGACACATGGCAACCCAGCAGAACGGGCTGCTGCAGCCGTTGGTCATGCAGTTTAATGTGCTTCTGCAGAGTTTGTCCATAAATGCGGCGCTACTGCCCTCTTTGCAGGCGCAGTATCGAATGAATCATGTGAGTTCGATGGGAGTGACGGGCCATCGTGCAAAATTTGTGATAGACTTACCAACACATACTCTAAGTTTTAACACGAAGATACAGGTGAGAGTAAGTAATATTGATCAGAAGAATTAGTAACCTATTAAAATATTCCCATTTTAATCTTCCATAGAATGAAATGAACCTCCCTTCCGAGGCGTGCATCGGACTTCCACCTGTTCATGTGCTTGCCGAATATATACCAGACAATCGTCAGGAGCACATTGAGAATATCGAGGGTATTGTTCTACGGCAGGGTGGCTATGTGAATGCCTCGGCTGAAATTGGCGAATTTGAAAGATGCTTGACGACTGATTTACTGAACCACTTGGTGTTTGTCCAAAAAGTGTTCATGCGGGAAGTTAATGAAGTTCTGCAAAAAGTTTACGGCGGCGAAAAACCCGTGCCCCTGTGGACTGAGGACAGCGATAGTGCTAGCGTGCAAGAATCAACGTTGAAACGAATACTCTTTTCGATTAACATATCCATGAAACGCATACAATTGACTGCCACAACGCCTTGCTCGTCGGCAGTGCGCTTTGAGACTGGAACACTGGAACTCCAGCTATCGAATCGTGTAAAGAATTTGGGTGATTTGCATAATCGCAAAATGTTCTTCAAAGCGCACATCGATTTCAATTTATCGCTGGGACAAATTATACGTAATGTGATTTTTGATGAGGCGGAACCAGAGTTTCAGCAATATGCCTTCTTCCACACGACCATCGGCCTGCGTAATGCATTCCAGGACGAGCTGCTCAACGAAGACAAGGAGCTAATACTGTTGACGTTGAAGCGTCCTTTGGTATACATACAGCCGATAGCGGTGGACAAAGCCATATTGGTGTGGTTAAACTATAAGAACGCCTATGAGTACTGGGCGGAAAAACGAGCAAATCTGTGTTACGAGCATAGTACACAAAATACACAGCAGGTGTTCGACCGTGTAGCTTTCGGACAACTTGCTAGCTCGAATTTGTCTACTCTGTTCTTGCAGCTGACTGTGGAAGATATGGGTATATGCCTGCCTTTGAAACAGGTGTCTACGGTGAGTAATGGGCATCATATATTTATATGAGTTATTATTTATACAGTAAAGTAAATATCGTAAATACTTTTGAATTGGAATTAGAGAAATTAAGATCTAAAGATAATGTATATTATACGATTATACTCCTTTACCTTCTGTCTGATATCTTTTAGTCACTTCGGTCTCGGTCATACCAGGATTTTGATGCTAAAGGTGCGGTGGTAATAACGCTGGAAAACACAATCATTTCTGCATGTAATTCCGGTTCGCTAGTTTCGAAAGGCAAGTTCCAAGGCCTTTGTCTACGTTTTGCGGACGATTTCGAAACTAATTTGGATGACTGGAAACCGAGTGGCAGCGAGCCCATCATGAATGTTTGCGTTGTGTCCGAAGGCACATACGAGGTTTGTTCACGCACCACAGCCGCTAAGAAGGGAGAGAATGCCAAGTGGCTGTTGAACGTGAAATGGCAAATGGAGGGTGTAGATATACATCTGGATGTTAATATTGGTAAGCAGTTATCCTCGCTGGGTCACACGCTCACGATGTTGACGGGCTTCGAGGAGGAAGACACCAACATCGAATCCCCTGACAGTGATGAAGGGGATCAGAGTTGTCGCGATACGTATGTGCGGCGACGGGAATTCGAAAACTTACCCTCATTTGTATTTGATCCCACTATCGATTCGAAAAAGCGTTCTTTCATGATGGAAAAGGAAATGGCCGAGCAGCTGAAGATCATTAACGATTTGCGTACGCTGGGCGCTTCCCATAACACGGTGGCGCACGAGGAGCGCCGCCTGCAGGAGCTGCAGGCCATTTGCTATAAATACTTTCGCCGTGATATGATACAGAAATGGAAGCGTCCATCAATGCGTAGATCATTGAAGAACTACAGTCGCTCGCACTCGTACATAGGTGGCGGAGCAGGTGCTGTCGCAGGCGTGGGTGGGGTGGCCGTGGGAGCGCGGGAGCTGTCTTTAGATAACGGAACATATACCAGTAGGCGTTTGGATCCGATAGCCTCCAATGATGAAATATCAAGTCTACAAAGCACTCCGGTTTCGTGTCATTCCCGGAGTGCTTCGTTGAAAACGGGCGCAATAGGCAGGGTAACTTTTACGGAAGCAATGCGTCAGACATCACTGCCAAATGCAGACACTGACACCGAGACTCAGGAAAACGAATTAGATTGGCGGGCTAATGATATACTTGGCGAATTAACTCCCAGTGAAATGGATGTCGATGGCACGTCTGTGGAGATGCGTCGCAAGCATGGTCATGCACAAAAGCAGCAAGAGCCAAATATAGATTTCGAACTGGATGTTAAGGTGTTAGTCAACTCTGGCAAGTGCGTGCTCCACACCAAAGAAACGACCGATGAAAGAGTGCAGAACTACGGAGCCGCCTCCAGTGTAAAGACCCACAAGCGAGAGCGTAGTATAGGCAACGATTGGGGTAGTCCAACACCATCGAGGAGACAGCGTGAAAAGAATAAATTACGCTACAATGCCACAAATAATGCTCTGTTATCGGATCTCACCATCTTCCATATACCAGGACTGGATGTCAAACTACACTATCAGTCCCGCACGGTAGCTGATGCGGCCACCCATATACCGACAGCATCAACGGCAGAACATACGCCACATTCGGCTTTACGTCGATTGGGAAACAAACGTGCCACACTCTGTGCCTGGATGACGCTGCAAAGCATTCCGGAGGAAACAATCATATCGCCACACATACTTGAGTTCTTAGAGCAAACTCTCGAGCCTATACCATCGAAGACGCCAAGCAGTGCACCACAAACGCCTTCCAACCAAGCTGCTGTCAATTTGGACATACTACCAGCTAATTATGTGACTTATGCTTCCTTTCCCGTAGATGTAATTGTTTACTTCCACATGCAGCCCTCAACATTTAGGTTCTCCTGTCTGCCCGTATCGCGTGTAGAGTGTATGTTGCAGCTGCCTAGTCTCGATATTGTATTTAGCTCCAAGCGTTCTACAGAGGAAGAAGCGCAGATGTCGGAGCAAGCGCCAACGCATGCAGAGAAGGAAAAACTACCCACAGGCGGGTTGAGTGTAACAGGATGTTTGGCAGATTTCAATGTGTATATATTCCATCCGTACGGTGGAAAGAAAACGTCCAAAGAGACACAATTTTCCCCGTTGACTGACAGTGAGCGCAAAGATTCGCTCAGTATTAATGTGGAATTTGTTAAGTTCCACATAACGCGATGTCGCAAGGTCTACATTGAACCGCTGCCCACTTCAAAACGCGCGCTGGATCAGTCTCGTGCAGTCATCCGCTTTTCCACTATCGTGGATATTGGCAGTGCCAGCTTCAAGTATGACATGAGAAGATTAACTGAAATACTGGCTTTTCCAAAAGCCTGGTACCGTCGTCGCATTGTACGTCGCCTCTTTTTGGGCGATTTGAGCATGCAGCAGCAGCAAGCGATGGCAAATGGGGCAGAGACGCCAACTCCAAACACACCCAAAGAGCCGTTTACAAAGCAATCGCCAAATGAAGAAATGAATCGTAACAAAGAGAAAATGCGTTTGGATTTTGATTCACAGCATCAGCCTCAGTCACAGTCACAACCACAGTCACAGTCCCAATTGGGTCATTTTGGTGCAGTTCGTAAGCTTAAGGTTCTGGGAAAATCGTCCAGCGCCGAATCGTCGGGTACACCACCATCAGAAAAGAATCAGATAACTGCATGGGAGACTCTTGTGCTCTTCGCCGTCAACTTTACGAAGCTGAATGTGCAAATGAATATGGGCAATGTTATGGGAAATGTTGTGTGGCTAACCAAAGATTTTCAATCGGATGGACGCCTCTCCATTGGTAGCACAGGATATAAGAACATGTATGTGGGCATCTATTTGGGCGGCTCAGCGCTGGATGCTAAGGGAGGCATTGTGGGCGGCAGTTTTGAAGTGAACAAAATAAACAAACGATTTCATATTAAGGAGGAATCGGGAGTTGAGCCATACCATACCATGGGTCTCAGCTTTATGGCTCTAGAATTGCGCTTGGACTATATGGGCACATCAGTGCTTATGACTCGCATTAGTTCTTTCTCAGCGGCGATGAAGGACGAATGGCGAACTTCTACGCATGCGTCGAACAAGGAATCGGGAGCACCACTGAGCAAGCCCCAAGCACTCATCTTTATACACGGCGACTTGACTTGGGACCAGTTGCAAATAATGATATCCAAGTCCACAACGGCTGATTTGCTAAAGATGTACTTTAAACTGGAAGAGTTTTTCACCCAGCAATTCAAGTCATCGAAGCGCGTTTTCTCCAGCTTGGAGCCGCGCCTGCAGGATCGCACGGCAAGTATAAAGAGACGGCAGCAAATGAAGAAAAAAACCAATGGCGAAGCACCGACAATTGGAACTGCTTCGGCGCCATTGGGTGTGGACAACACAGACGCGCGTCACCATCGCCATTGGCAGAAGCCGTTGGAGCAGGCCATTGGGTTGGTGGTGCCTTCGTTGGTGACACGCCTTCCACGACATGGCAATGTGCTAGGGGGGACTGTGGAGCTTAGAGGTCAAAATATATCGCTAGCCTGCTTCCATGGCATCAACTTTAAGTCCAAGTCATGGGCACTCTTTAGTCTAAAGTCACCTTCCATTAACTTTGCCACCGAAGCGCGTCAAATTGAGGATACGCATGAGGTGTTTGTTACACAAACTCTAACGTCTTGTTTGGGACAAACCACAGAAGTGCAGCAGCAACAGAATCATTCAATGGCCATTGTGAGTCGCATTTCCCGCAACATAATCTTCCCGCCACAGTTTAAGACGCTCAACGAATGGTTCCATTATGCCTTCGCCAATAGCGAGATTGATGGTGAGTACGAACTTGATACACTGGTTTTGAAATTTTATTTGATCCTCTATGTTCCTTTTTAGCTGTGGATCGTTTTCCCATACTGGAATGTGAGCGTGAGATTGCCTCGAATTCTATTGAACGTATGCGCGCTTCTGGAAGCACTAGTGCAGCCAAATCACAGGAACATAACCATAATCGGGAGGTTATCTTTGCCCTTCCCAGCTTGCAGCTGAGTTTTAAAACCGAGCATAAGCAGGGACCAACTACGCCAGAGCCTGATGGTAAGACTTAAATTGAAATCCTAAGAAAAAGAGTAATTTAAATTGAATTAAATTTTTAAATTGCAGAAACCAAGCCTGAAGTTTTGTGCAGCTTCATTACGGAATTTGATGATCACATTTTTGTCACGGTCGATGCAGATGCCTTCTTCTTTCTACATGATTTAATTACTTCGTATGTTAATGAGAAGGAGAAAGTGGTGAGTTGAATAAATATCTTAACTTATAGGTGTAACTAAATGGAATCAATAATCTTTAAATTTTTTGCTAGATTGGCGTCCAGTCGGCGCGTGCTGCATCGCCGAACTTGTCACAGAAAACCAACCTAAAGCCATACATAACAGATGATATACTCAAGGAGAAGAAAACTGCTTCCAATACAAATTTGACTGGTCAGGGAAATCAGCTAAGTGCTAGCAAAAGCAGCTTGGAGCCAAATCAGCTGCAGGACAGCCACACTAGCTTAGCGAACTCAACAAGCACATCGACAACAGGTCAAACAGGTGCGACCACGGTGCCGACGGGGACAGCAGCGACATCGTCTGCCAGCAATGCGAAAGATTCAAAATTAAGTGGCGGCAGTTCCACAACAAACACAAATAGTACCGATAATGCTAATACATCTTCTCCCGCTTTTGATTTGGAATCTTTTGTACGAGATTGGCGGCACTTCGAGTGTCAAACATGGCACTTGGAGCCTACTGTTCGTTTACTTTCCTGGGCTGGCAAATCCATTGAGCCATATGGCGTTGACTACATACTTAATAAGCTTGGATTCAGTCACGCACGCACCACTATACCCAAATGGCTGCAACGCGGCTTCATGGATCCACTGGACAAGGTTCAGGCCCTGATGATGCTACAATTGCTCCTGATGGTACGCGAGAATAAAGTGGAGTCGGCGAAGCATCCAAATCGCTCATCAACGAATTAGAGAACGACGCAAGGAGAGAAGAAATGGGGGAACTGGCAGATATGTGGGCGGAAATTGAGGACAGTCCCCCTAGGACAATTGAAATGCTGTGCACGTGATTCTTTCTATCTATTTATTTGTAAGCTGCAATGTATGTAGATATTACACTTATATACGTATATATGATAAAAATTGTGTAATTTTTAGAGTGGATTTTGTGTTAATCATGTTTCATATGCTTTGCGTATAGTTTTAATGAATACTCAAAGTATTATAAACATAATATTTCTATACCTAAATGGGTTCAGTCTTTTTTGCGTGTTCTTTTGTAAATGTAATTTTTATATATATGTATAAAGGATCTGAAATCGTGCTTTGATATATTTTGCTCAATTTTTGCGCTTTGTAATTATATGTAATTAAATTATTTATAAACTGTGGGCGAAGCAAGTGTTTAAAAATTAAGTAGCTCTAGTTGAAATATTTAAAAAAAAATTAAGAAAACGAATGTCAAAAACCGAAAAAAAACAACGGAAGCAAAAGCTCTTATAGTACGTTTTGTTTCGTATAAGTCTATGATATATAAATAATAAAGTGAACTGTGAAAACATATTGAATTTTCATTATTTTTTAATTAAAAATGACTTGGGAATGACTCCAGTTCAAAATAATTGTTTGAATGTATGTCCTTCGATGTCAATTGTTGTAAGAATTGTTTCAATAATCAAAGATAGCTACTGAGTTGTTGTTCGTGCTCGGTATTGGTCGTATACATGCGGAATTGCTTTCTTCAACTCCATCAGTAAATGCAGTTTCAAGTTCTGGAAACGTCCCATTTTCTCTTGCATTGACATGTTCACCTGAATCGCTGCATCGGCCATAGCGCCGGTGTAAATTTCGGGACTTAAATCGTTGTCAATAAAACGAATTACATCGCTTGGCACATATACGTTATTGACTTCAGCACGGCGTTTATCAATATTGATGAGTCCTTTCACCAAATTGTGTCTGTGGAGTAGAATATTAGAATTTTGGAAACATTTATAATATTTCACATGCACACATTTTACGCTTGAAAACGCTGTGCGCAATTGCCTCAGGATTGAAGGCCAACATTTCGATTTCGAACATTGTCTCAATAAATTTCTCCAGATTTGTCTCAAGCGGAGATGTATCGTCTTTCGACCGATTCATGTTCACACGGTACGTTCAGTTTATTCCACTAAGTATAGTGTATAGGTCTGTTATAACTTTTCTTCGTTGTTGCTTGAGTTCAGAAAATCCGAACAATGACGTTTGGGCTGCCAACGCTTTTTAAGTACACATGTCAACTTGCCTTGCTGACATTTTTGACATTTTTAACGTCTAAACAAACCAAACATCAAAACGCTACAACGGTCTACTGGGCTGGAAGTATAACAGGCATAATATAAATATATTCAGGTTCTCCTAAGCCAGAAAAGGGTCAAATATATTATTTTTACTCGCCCGCTATTAGTGATTGTTCCATAGCCCTCGTAAAAATTGGGAATTATAAAAATTTTAAGAATGCATCCAAGTTATATTGATATGTGAATTGTAAAGGAAGTAATTTTCATTATAGCGGGAGAAAAAATTAAACTTGACCTTTCCCGAACTTGGGAGAATTTAGATACCAAGTCTGGTTATTCTAGTTGTTATGCTTCCTCTTATTCTAGCTCTTATGATATAAACAATATTATAATATTTCATACGATTCTACGTTATAAACGTGCTTCAATTTAGTAAATATTAAAACCATTTAACAACAATTTCTAAATGAGATGAGTAGAGCAAATAAAAATAACTGAGGAAATAATTTTGATTGATGCAGAAATTTATGCATTTATAAAAGGAGAAAGGACTAGATTGCTTACAAATTTATTTTTTCAGGGTTATGATAGACCGAAAGACCAATACACCGTGGCTGGGCGCGGTGGTTACAGAAGAATTTCATATCTTGTTTTAGAACATCCCAGAAATGCTAAAGTAAAAAAAAATTAAAAATTAATTAATTCTGATTTGAAACTCCCAAGATTAGTTTCAATACTTCATATACCGAATAAAGTTTTCAAAACGATTTTGTCGAAAAAAAATCATTATAAATTTTTGATATAAAAACTGCGGCATTTCAAACTCACAATATATACCTACATTTCGCAATATAATTAGCAGAAATCGATTTTAGACGAGCTTAAAATTTACGTCGCTATCGCAACTGGGGCCTAGCATAGCTCAGTTCGGTTCGAGCCACGGTGCTACCATCATCGCATAAAAATGTATTTCAAAAATACTTGCAAATTAAAAAAAGCTGCCTATGCCCTTAGCACTAGCTAGTTTTATAAACAATTTGAATGACAAGAGCATTCTGGTATTTCAAATTTTTTTGTTCAATTGAGGTCTTTCAAATTTGAAAACTTTACCATTTTCACTTTGGAATTCTTTGGAATTTGTAAAATAACCGAACGACAATTTTGGGCATGAAAATGTGAAGCATCAAAAACTGATCGCAGAAGTACTATATATATATTATTTATATAATCTCTAATTTTCACTTCGCAATTCAACTGATATTTTTGTTTCTACTTGGAAATACACTACATAGTTATACGAAAAGGATACGTTATCTTGTAAGTTAAGCGAAAGAATAAAATGAAATAATCAAATTATACTTATTAGAAAAGAAATAAATCCTTTAATTTCTAGTCTAATTAAATACAAGGTCATACAATTATGTTAAAATTATGGAACCAAGAACTGTGCAATTGAGAAGAGATAATTAGTTTAAAGGAGTAAATCTACCTTTGGGAATGTGTAAGGATGGATGTTACCACTAATGTACCACACAAAGTAATCGAGAAGGCCGTCACAATTAGCATGGCCAGAAGTCGCCTTTCTCCACGCCAGCCAACAGCGACTTCCAGTGAAAATTTCAGTTAATTTTCGCATGACTTTACATTCGTCGTTTCCTTTTGCTGTACTCGCAGTTGCCCCGCTGGATCTTTATTTTTGCTTGAGTCAACTTTGCATCCGTTGCGTGTATCCGAGCAGCGCAACTTTTTGCCTTTCATGCAGCCCCAACGTTGCGACGTCGACAACGTTTTTCTTGTCACTTGGCTTTATTTTTTGCGCTTGTGTCTTTGTAAACATTTCATTTTCATCAAGGTTGCGTTTTTAATTATTTTTCCTTTTCTTGATGCGCTGCGCTTGGTTCGCTTCTTCACTCGTTGGTTTTCGTCCATTCTTTTTTTCTCCTTTTTTCTATTTTTTTCCTATTATTTTCTTTTTTTAACATATTAGGTTCTGGCGTTTCTACATCATTTTGTGCTGCACATAATGTGTATAGTATGTGCGCAGCTCAGTAGGCAGCAGAACGAGTCTTACGCTAAGCATCTTTTTTCTCGCTCTATTTCAAAAGATTTTTTTGTTTTGTTGTTTTTGTTGCTGGCATTTTAACAGCGGGCCCAGTTGATGAGCTTTTCACGCACTGTAGGCGCAGCACAAAAAGTCAAGCAGGCAAGTTAATGTGATGGGCGTGCCGGGCCAAGGCGAAAGCGTGCTCCTATGTATATGTATATATGTATGTGTGTGTGTGTGTGCGGGGGTGTGTGTGTGTGTGTGTGTTTGGGTGTGCAAATGCTGCTGGTCGGGTCGCGCTTACAAAAGGCCATGAATACGAGTGGTTTACTTTGGAGATTAGTTTATCTAAAGTTAATGAGGGTTAAAACTAATAGGCGAATGGCTTAATTTTTAATTATGAGACTCGCTTTTCGTTACGGCTTTTCCCCATTGTCTATGGTTTTCTTTTCTTAGATTTTTGTGGTTTTTGCATTTTGGTGTCGAGGCATTTTATTTTGTCAGCGCTTTTATATCATTTTGACACAGAGCCCCAGGCAGAGAAGAGGCATGTTTTATGTTATGGTGGCGACTTCAATTTGAAATAGGCTTAGTAGTACAGTCTCCTTTACATAAACAAATACATACTGTAAAATAGAGGCAAGTTAGTTAGAGCAGGTAATTAAAATTTGTAATTTACTCCCAAATAATGTATTGATGCTTGGGGTTTCCGATTCCAAACGACGCGGTTTGAATGACTTTTCTAAAACTGGATTTTTAGATCTTTTGCATCTATTGCGGCATACAGAACAAGTAAACATTTTTTTTTTGAAATTGTTAATATCTGTTGAGTTTGTGTGTCTGTTTTATTCGATTTCGTTTGCAAGCTTTTGTTACATCGCGATGTATTGAAAGCATCTTTGAGACTTTTTTGCAATATGTAATGTTGATATACTATATAGTTTATTTAATCAGTTTATTTATCAGGTTTCAGAAAAAGTATTGAAGTTGTTACGTTATTATTACTTCTTAGGTTGACCTTGACAAGGTATTGAGTTTAGAAAAAGTAAGACTTCACGTCAAAATTGACAGATTAATTTCGTGTCGAAAGAAAAGGGCCTGTTCATGTATGTATAAGAATTACATATTCAATATTCAGAATGTCTTACATACGTATAATAAATTCCAAGAATAAAAAAATAAGCAAGGCCCACTCGACTTCAAGAGTCGATCAATTGGAAAAAAGATGAACATGACAGGCACACATATTTATAGCAAATTGGATTAATCTGACAACCAAAGTGGTCCATTTCAACAAAATATGTTTTTATAGCAATAAATTGGAGAATGTAAAAAATGGTTATTGCTGAACCCTTGCGGTTCAAAGATCGCTTAAAGTACGCGAATACTTCGCCTTAGCCTTAAACTTGTCCAATTGCTGTACAAAGTATATTATAACTATCTCTTCTATTAGTTATAAGGTTAGTAAGGCGCCACATTCGCCATATTCTTGTCGTACAATATGGCGTTTGTAGGAAATTGGAGAATGTAAAAATTAGTTACTGTTGAAAGACGCGAGTCGTTATAAAAGTATGCGAATACTTTATCGTAGCTTTAAACTTGTCCAATCGCTGTACAAAGAGTACTATAACTATCTCTTCTACTAGTTATTTGACTTTAAGGCGCGACATTTGCCATCGCACTTGTCATACAATATGGCGTTTTATTAGTTTCCTGTGCATTAGCTGGCGGCAGAATTTAGGCCCCATCTCACATTTCACTATATAAATTGCCGTCCGGTGTTGCTGTCAAGTTGTCAAGTAACAGGGAACGTAATATATTTTTCAATTAAAAGCAGCCGGTCAGCTGAGCTCGGTGCACAAAGTTTGTTGTCAACTCTGCGTAAAGAAAATACTTCAAACGCACGATTTATTGAGCACATGATGCGACAACAATTGAAAAATTTGATTTGCTGTGCAGAAACTTTCAATGGTGAATGTGAGTTTAGGTGAAATATGATTTAGCTTCAAAACGAATGCAGTCATGTACATACTTAGTATACACGTGTGTACATACACAGATGAGTTGTGTGTGGATCTTGGAAAGTGGCAGGGGCAACAAGGCAATCAAGCACAGCTTGTGCCAAAGGCTTTGGGAAATTTATGCGAACAACCCTTGAACCCCATCGCTAAATTATTTTTTAATTTCTTTCTTGTTGGCTAGGCCTAAGAAAACTTTTTGCCGAAAACAACCAACAACATAATAATCAAGTCAATAAAAAAGTCATAAAAAAGAAATGTTGTAAAGGCCAAGTGACAGCGTCAAGCATGTTCTGTATAACTGCAAATACGCGTATGTGTGAGTGTGTGCTTGTGTACGTGTATGGGTGGAATGCCTGGCGGGCGTCAAGGCATTTTCGACCGCACACAAACAAAAATGAACGACATGCCATAGACAAATATCAAACAAGACGCCAGGACGCACAAGGAACAAGGCACAAGCCACAAGGCGAACTTGTAGAGCGATAAAGCAGACAATAAAAACCACCGAGCATAATAAAAATTACATTTTATTTTATTTGTGTGTGTGTGTGTGTGTGTGTGTGTTGTGAGAAGACATTTTTAAATAGTCCAAGGCACGCACGTCAACAGGCAAGCCCCCATGCAACCCCGCAGACGCTGGAGTCTTCAGCTCACAAATTACAGCAAGATATTTGTCCTTTGATTGTGTGGGCGGCCGCACGCTCTCCTGCGTCTGTGCCAGCACCCGAAGTTGCAAGTTTTGAATAATGTGCCCCCTCGTCAACCCCTGTCCGTACTCCAGCGTTTGCTGCCTGGCCGAAAATAATGACTCCCTCGTGTGCTGCTGCTTCTGCTTCTGTTGCT